AAAGAGCCTCTGAAGGAATATTTCAATTGAGCATATTATCATTTTTTTTTTTGCCTCACGTATTTTTCAGACCATAAAACGCTAAAGGAATCACCTAGGATCTAAAATGCTGCTAAATTGAATAGGCCTGGGATAGGGCCTGAAAGCCTGCATTTTTAACAGGCTTCAGGTGATATTTATGCTGCTGAGAGATTATACTTGGAATACCAAGGGTCTAGTTTAGAGGATGTGCGTCTGCACCTATTTGTTCAGATGCAAAATTTTGAAAAGTCTGACCCACGGGGGAGATGCTAATGGCTCGTCATTCACCAAATGAGTGACCACTATGTGTTAGTCACTGAGGATCAAGATTAAAGACGGCAGACACTGCCCTGACCTCATGGAGTTCCCAGTCTCACCAGGAAGCCAGGCATTTAGCAGGAAACAAAGCCCTCTGCGAGAGGCTTGCGCTGTGGTCCCCCGAGTTCCTAGGCGCTTCCGCTAGCGCTGTACCGTCCCCTCAGTTGATTGGCTGACAGGATTTCCAGGTCTCAGCCAATGAGGCTCCGGCTTGGCCACTGCCAAGAGCGGCGGTTGTTGGAGTGCAACTGCCATGATCAGGTGCGATGGCCGGGGCTGCCGGCCAGGTCCGAGGTCGCGCCCTGCGGCGGTTTCCCATCACCCTGCCTGTGGGCGACGTGAGTATCTGCGAGGGTAGAAGCCAGACCCTTTCCCCCATATTTAGATGCCTTCCTCGTCCCTACTCCTGGGAAGAGGAATAACAGGATTTCTCGAGGTTTCGGCCCAAGGTCTTAGCCTTGTGATCTAGAATCCTCCAGCTGTGAGGTGGGTACTTCCTGTGATTTCAGGGTAAACTGAGACTGGCTAGACTCACGTGGGAGTAAATGTAGGAGACTGAATTCCAATCCAGATGCTCTTATTCCCCGAATCCTCTTCTCTCCACGCCCACTTTGGAAACCAGGTTCCTTCTTAGCTGGAGTCTCACCATGTGCAGGTGTGTTGGAGGTGAACTGAGGAGAATCTGGAACCCCGATGCTATTTTCAAGTTTTTTGTTTTGTTTTGAGACAGGCTGGAGTGCAGTGGCACAATCACGACTCACTGCAGCCTTGAACTCCTGGGCTCAAGCAATCCTCCCACTCAGTCTCAGGACTAGCTGGGACTACAGGCTCGCGCCACCACACCCAGCTACTTAAATTTTATTTGTTTATTTATTTATTTATTTTGGTAGAGACGGAGTCTCCCTATGTTGCCTAGGCTTGCATATTTATTTAGTAGAAGAAAAAACACATGCAAAAATCGTGTACGGGAAGGATAAACGCCAAATTTAGGATAGCTGCTGTCTTCCTGGGATGCGGATACAGAGATTATCAGCTGGACCTTGGTAATTTTATTTCTTAAGTTTTGAGGTGGGAATCTAAGTATTTGTTACATTATACTCTTTCTTGTTTGTCTGAAATACATTTTTAAGAGGGAAACATGGAGCCAAGCACAGCTGCACACACCTGTAGTCCTAGCTACTTGGGAAGCAGAGGCAGGAGGACGTCTTGAGCTCAGGAATTCAAGGATATAGTGTATGCTGTAATTGTGCCTGTCAATAGCCACTGCATGCACTCCAGCCTGGGCAACATAGCAAGATCCTGTCTCTAATTAAAAAAAAAAAAAAGAATCCCAGCACTTTGGGAGGCCAAGGCGGGCAGATCACAAGGTCAGGAGATCGAGACCACGGTGAAACCCCGTCTCTACTAAAAATACAAAAAATTAGCCGGGCGCGGTGGCGGGCGCCTGTAGTCCCAGCTACTCGGGAGGCTGAGGCAGGAGAATGGCGTGAACCCGGGAGGCGGAGCTTGCAGTGAGCCGAGATCGCGCCACTGCACTCCAGCCTGGGTGACAGAGCGAGAGTCCGTCTCAAAAAAAAAAAAAGAAAAGAAAAGAAACATGCATATGGAAAATAATATCAGAGGATAAAGCATACTCAATCCACCTCCACGCTTCTAGAGACCCTCACCAGGAGCAGCCACTGTTACCAGCTTTGTGTGTATTTTAACCTGTTTTTTTTCTTTTCTTTTCTTTTCTTTTCTTTTCTTTTCTTTGAGACAGAGTCTTGCTCTGTTGCCCAGGCTGGAGTACAGTGGCGTGATCTCAGCTCACTGCAAACTCTGCCTCCCGGGTTCAAGCAGTTCTCTGCCTCAGACTCCTGAGTAGCTGGGATTACAGGCACCCACCACCATGCTCAGCTGATTTTAATATTTTTAGTAGAGATGCGGTTTCACCATCTTGACCAGGCTGGCCTTGAACTCCTGACCTCGTGATCCACCGCCTTGGCCTCCCAAAGTGCTGGGATTACAGGCGTGAGCCACCACACCTGGCCACTTTTTTTTTTTTTTTTTTTTTTTTTTAAGAGGAGATGGTATCACTATGTTGCCCAGGCTGGCTTCGAACTTCTGAGCTCAGGCGATCCTCCAACCTCAGCTTCAGGGGTAGCTGGGACTGCAGACACAGGCCACTGCTCCTGTCTTCTTAGGCATTTTCTATAGTGTATACAAGGTTATATGGGAGCTTGGGGACTTTTGGGGTGGGGGTTCCTGTTTGTTTTGCACAAGTGAACCTACTATATATGGTCCTGCACCTTGGGCAGTGTAATTTTTAACCTCATTAAACTGTTTTGCAAACTTCATTAACCTCTAGCCCTGTGAAACAATATAATTTATCTGGGAAAATATCCCCAGGGTTGCTTCTGAAGTGATGAGATGTAGGTCATGGCTACCTAGGCGGTGTTTGCCTTTTTCTTTTTAGCACACCCTCATGTGTAAGGTCAAAAACAAAAAACAAAACGTCTTCTCCAGTTAACCCTGTGAGCGTGCAGGAAAAAAGAATCATAGCAAGCAGAGTGTTCCCTGGAAATGCTTTACCCTTTCTCAAAACATTTTTACTACTACAGTACAGGTTAAATTCCACAGAGAACCCACCATGGCTTGATTTTTGTTTTTGTTGTTGTTGTTATTTGTTTATTTATTTGAGATGGAGTCTTGCTCTGTCGCCCAGGCTGGAGTGCAGTGGCATGATCTTGGCTCACTGCAACCTCCGCCTCCTGGATTCAAGCGATTCTCCTGCCTCAGCCTCCTGAGTAGCTAGGACTACAGATGCCCGCCACCATGCCCGGCTAATTTTTTTTTTTTTTTTTTTTTTTTTTTTTTAGTAGAGACGGGATTTCACCACATTAGCCAGGATGTTCTCGATCTCCTGACCTCGTGATCCGCCCACTTCAGCCTCCCAAAGTGCTGGGATTACAGGTGTGAACCACCACGCCCTGCCTTTTTATTAATTAATTAATTAATTTATTTTTGAAATGGAGTTTCACTCTGTTGCCAGGCTGGAATGCAGTGGCACGATCTTGGCTCACTGCAACCTTCACCTCCTGGGTTCAAGCGATTCTCTTGCCTCAGCCTCCCAAGTAGCTGGGACTACAGGTGCATGCCACCCCACCCAGCTAATTTTTGTATTTTCAGTAGAGACAGGGTTTTACCATGTTGGCCAGGATGGTCTCAATATCCTGACCTCTCGTGATTCACCAGCCTCAGCCTCCCAAAGTGCTGGGATTACAGACGTGAGCCACCATGCCCAATCTATTTATTTATTTTTCTGAGACAGAGTTTCACTCTTGTCACCCAGGCTTCAGTGTGATGGCATGATCTCAGCTCATTGCAACCTTTGCCTCCTGCGTTCGAGCGATTCTCCTGCCTTAGCCTTCCAAGTAGCTGGGCTTACAGGTGTGCACCACCATGCTTGGCTAATTTTTGTATTTTTAGTAGAGATGGGGTTTCACCATGTTGGCCAAGCTGGTCTCAAACTCCTGACCTCAGGTGACCCACCCACGTCGGCCTCCCAAAGTGCTGGGATTACAGGCTTGAGCCACCACACCTGGCCTCTATCTTAAAAAACAAACAAACAAACAAACAAACAAACAAACAAGGCTGGGTGCAGTGGCCCACACCTGTAATCCAAGCACTTTGGGAGGCCAAGGCAGGTGGATCACAAGGTCAGGAGATGGCGACCATACTGCCTAACATGGTGAAACCCTGTCTCTACTAAAAATACAAAAATTAGCTGGGCATGGTGGCGTGGGCTTGTAATCCCAGCTACTTGGGAGGCTAAGGCAAGAGAATTTCTTGAACCCAGGAGGCGGAAGTTGCAGTGAGCCGAGATTGCGCCACTGCACTCCAGCATGGGTGACAGAGTGAGACTTCATCTCAAAAAACAAACAAAAACCCAAGTGCTGAGATTACAGGCATGAGCCACCACACCTAGCTCTATTTAATTATTTTACTATTTTAATTTTATTTAATTTTTTTTCTAGACAGGGTTTTGCTCTGTCACCCAGGCTGGAGTGCAGTGGCACTATCATGGCTCACTGCAGTCTAGACCTCCTGGGCCCAAGTGATCCTTCCACCTTGGCCTCCAGAACTGCTGGGATTACATGCATGAGCCACCGCACCTGTCTGTTTTCTTCCTTTTTAACATTGTCCTGGTTATACAACCCTTACATAGGAGAGCTGCGATTCCTCTTCTTGGAGTACAAATTTATGAGTGCAGGTGCCCTTTTGTTACATGCATAAGATTGCATAGTGGTCAAGTGGACTTTTAACCAAATGGGTTTTTTGACAGGGCTGATTGCCAACACCTGGACATTTTAAATTACCAACCTGAAAAGGGAAACAGCTCTCTGCTTGTTTTGCATTTTGGTGACTATTGTTAATGGTTTTCTGTTTTGATATATTCAATCTGTTCAATCTGTATTAGTGCCTTCTCTGCCACTGTGTTGGGTGGGAATCTGATTTTGTTCTGTGGTTGGAGAGCCAAGTTGACCAGAGCTTAGGCATTTTAAGATAACTACCTCAGCTTGATGGGAAAGCCTGCTCTGCCCGGGGTTGAGGGGTACGGGCGTAAGGGTGACAGAATCGACAGCCCCAAGTGGGCAAAGGGTGGCCAAACAGGAGCGGCCTCCGACGTCACTGTGGCGCGCCGCTTCCGGTCTGCAGCCTTGTAGTGGGACTGGAGCAGAGCCTGCCGCGAACCCCCGGAGCCCACGGTCAGTGTACCGTGCCATCCCTCGAATCCGAATCTGCCAGCACGAGCCTCCCACCCGCGCCTGGGACCATGGCCACTGACTCATGGGCCCTGGCGGTAGACGAGCAGGAAGCGGCAGCCGAGTCGGTGAGTTGGCTTAAGCCCTAAAAGGGTTAGGGACTAGTTCTGGCCCGAGACTTGGTCCCTGGGAAAGGGTGGTTCCTAGGTTGATTAGAGACTGGATGGGGTGGCGGGGAGGATAGGGATGGAGCCTGGACCCTGAGGGGGCTTTGTTTACGCAGCCGCCCCCGCGTTACGTAAGCGCAGGTGAGTGCTCCTGTCGGTAAAGCGCTGAGCCGCCTGTCTGTCTTCCTGGAACCAGGAATGATCGTAGATTGTACTCATCACCCTAGATTGTGTTTTGTTTGTTTTTAATTGAAATAGAGACATGGTCTTGCTAGGTTGCCTAGGCTGGTCTGGAACTCCTGGACTCCAGCAGTCTTCCTGCCTCCGCCTTTCAAAGCACCAGGATTACAGGCTGAGCCACGGCTCCTGGCCGCCCCGGTTTGTAATAGCTATTTTAGGTGTCATTCTCCACCTCTAGATTCAGAGCTTCTTTGGCTCAGGGACCATGTCTCTGCTCATATTTGTGTGCTTGCTCAGTGATAAATGATGGACCCAGTAGGTCTGGCAGTCAGCAAATCCTTTCCTCATCGGCTTCACTTTGTTCTTTTTTTTTCTGGGCCTGACACATGGTAAGGAACATATGTGTTAAACACTACTGCGTAGAATTAATTTCTCCCACTGAAACACTTTAAATTCTAGTAGGCTTTAAACCTACTTCTATTAGTACTTATTTCTATGACTTCCTCAAGAATAAGAACCTTGTCTTTTATATTTTATAGCTGATAAAAAATAAGTTGTATATACACATTGTTTAAAGAGTCAAGTGATTTTAAAAATAATGGTTCCGGCCAATTTTTTTTCCTCCCCAGAGGCAACTCCTTTTTTTTTTTTTTTTTTTTTTTAGAGACAGGGTCACACTCTGTTGCCCAGGCTGGGGTGTAGTGGAGTGATCTTGGCTCACTGCAGTCTCTGCCTCCTGGTCTCAAGCCATGCTCCCATCTCAGCCTCCTGAGTAACTGGGACTACAGGCATGTGTCACTATGCCCAACTAATTTTTGTATTTTTTTTGTAGAGATGGGGACTTGCCATGTTGCCCAGGCTAGTCTCGAACTCCGGGATGCAAGTGATCCACCTGCCTCAGCCTTCCAAAGTGCTGGGATTACAGGTGTGAGCCACCATATCCAGCCTCTTTTTTCTGTTTCTTTCTTTCTTTACATATATTTTTTGAGAGAGGGTCTTGCCCTGTCACCCAGGCTGGAGTGCATTGGCACCATCTCTTGCTAACTACAACCTCCGCCTCCCAGGCTCAAGTGATCCTCCCACCTCAGCCTCCTGAGTAGCTGGGACTACAAGCATGAGCTAACCTGTGCAGCTAACTTTTTAATTTTTTGTGAAGATGAAGTCTCGCTATATTATCCGAGTTGATCTCCACCTCCTGGGCTTAAGCCATCCTCCCACCTTGGCCTCCCAAAGTGTTGGGATTATAGGCCTGAGCCACTTCGCCTGGCCCTTTGCTTTTCTATAAAATTTATTTTACTTGGAATTCTTAATTGCCTTATTTTTTGCTTCATTTTTTTTCTTAATTATCAATTCAACCCCAAACTCTCTTCCAGTTGTCTAAGTTTATCTCAAAATGCTTAGACTCATCAAATATTCTATCAATTCCATTTCTCCCAGGCCTTTTAAGTCTGCTTCAAATTGGACTAGTTACTCCTGTCTTTAGAGCACAGTTCATATTGGGGGATAGAGGGAACAGGGCAAATTTCCCTTCAGCCTAATTCTGCAGATTCATTTCTCCTTTCTCTTGTCTTTTGGATCTCTTGGATCCCTTCCTTTCTGTCCTTCCATTCTTCCGTCTTTCTTGATTTATTCCTTATTTTTGTGCAGCCATCTGTCAGCTTTCTAGAGGTGTACAGGAAGTAAATTACTTTAAGAATATTCCATGTTGAGGTGGGGGGAGGGGGGAGGGATGGCATTAGGAGGTATACCTAATGTAAATGATGAGTTAATAGGTGCAGCACACCAACATGGCACATGTATACATATGTAACAAACCTGCACGTTGTGCACATGTGCCCTAGAACTTAAAGTATAATTAAAAAAAAAAAAAAAAGAATATTCCATGTCTTAAAAAATCTAATTTTGCCCTGTAATTTGGATAATAGTTTGGCTGGGTATAGAATTGTAGGTTGAAAATTACTTTCCTGCCAAATTTTAAAGTTATTGTTCCATTGCCTTCTAGATTTCTGTATTTGTTGTTGAAATGTTTGAGACCATCCTGATTCTTGATGTGACTTGTTTTCCCCTTTCTAGGCTTGGAGAATCTTCTGTTTTCAATATTCAGAAAATGTATGGTAATATGTCTTGGCATGGGTGTATTTTCATCCATATTACTGGCCCCTGGGTGTGGGTACTTTCAATCTGAAAAACTCTTGTTCTTCAGTTATGAGAACTTTTCTTGAATAATTTCATTGTTGATTTCTTCTCCTTTGTTTTTTCTTAATTCTCTCTTTTCTGGAACTCACTCACTTTCTTTCTCTCTCTCTCTCTTTTTTTTTTCTTTTTAAGACAGGGTCTGTCTATGTTGCCCAGTCTGGAGTGCAGTAGCTATTCACAGGCAGAATCATAGTGCACTACAGCCTTGAACTCCTGGGCTCAAGGGATCCTCCTGCCTCAGCCTCCCTCGTAGCTGGGACTACAGGTGCGCACCACTACACAGCTTTTCCCAGAACTCTTATTTTATTAGATGAATGTTGTATCAGTTGGACTGGCCCTTTAGGTTTTTTTTTTTTGAGATGAAGTTTCGCTCTTGTCCCCCAGGCTGGAGTGCAATAGCGCGATCTTGGCTCACTGCAGCCTCTGCTTCTTGAGTTTAAGCGATTCTCCTGCCTCAGCCTCCTGAGTAGCTGGGATTACAGGCATGTGCCACCATGCCTGGCTACTTTTTGTATTTTTAGTAGAGGTGGGGTTTCACCATGTTGGCCAGGCTGGTCTTGAACTCCTGACCTCAAGTGATCCACACACCTCAGCCTCCCAAAGTCCTAGGGTTACAGGCGTGAGCCACTGCACCTGGCCAGCCCTTTAAGTTTTTAAAGTCAGGTTTATGGAGGTATAATTTACATAGAGTAAAATTAAACTTTGTTAGTGTACAGTTCTATGAATTTTGACAAAAGCATACAGTTCTGTAACTACCACCACAGTCAACATATAAACCATCTCTACAGAGAACTACAACTGCTTGTAGTTCACTCCCTCTCCTCACCCTTCTCTGGCAACTGCTGATATGTTTTCTGTCATTATAGTTTTGCCTTTTCCAGATGTTATAAAATGGAATCATGTAATATGTAACCTTTTGAAAAGTCTAGCTTCTTCCACTTAGTATTATGCATTTGGAATTCAACCAAGTTGCATGTATCAGTAGTTCGTTCCTTTTTATTGCTAAGTAGAATTCCATTGTGGATATACACAGTTTGCTTATTCTTCTATTGATGGACACTTGTGTAATTTTCAGTCTGAGACAATATGAAGAAAGCTACTCTATACATTAAGGTACAGATTTTTGTATGGATATATGTTTGCATTTCTCTTGGGTAAAGTCAATACTGAAGAGTAGGATTTACTGTGTTATGTGGTATGTGTTTAACTTTATAAGTTATATGCCAAACTGTTTTCCAAAGTGTATCATTCTGCTTTCCCAACAGCAATGGATGAGAGCTTCAACTGCCCCACATCCTTCCCTGCACAGTATTGTCGGTTTCCTTCATTCTGATAGGTACATGGTGGTGGTGTCTCATTGTGATTTTAACTTATATATCTCCCTAATGACTAATGATGTTGAAAATCTTCTCATGTGCTTATTTGCCATCTATGTAACTTCTTTGAAGTGGGTTTTCAAACCTTTTGCCCATTTTAAAAGTAGGATTGTTTTTGTTTTTAGTTGGGAAGGTTTATATATTCTGGATAGAAGTTCTGTTTTTTTGTTTGTCTGTTTGTTTGTTTGTTTTAGACAGGGTCTCACTCTGTCACCCAGCTAGAGTGCAGTGGCGCTATCTTGGCTCACTGAAACCTTCACCTCCTGGGCTCAAGGGATCCTCCCACTCGGCCTCCAGAGTAGCTGGGACCACAGGCATGCGCCACCACATCTGGCTGATGTTTGTATTTTTTGTAGAGATAGGGTTTTACCATGTTGCCCAGGCTGGTCTTGGAACTCCTGGGTTCAAGCAATCCACCCACCTGGGCCTCCCAGAGTGCTGGGATGGATAACAGGCGTGGTAAGTCCTTTATCGGATATGTTTTGCATATATTCTCCCAAACTACAACTTGTCTTTTTTCAACAGTACTTTTCAAATAATAGACATTTTCAACTTTGATTAACCTAATTTATCAATTTTTAAGTGATTAGTTCTTTTTATGTTCCAAGATATACACCTTATCCAAGGCCACAAGGATTTTCTCCTGTGTTCTCTAGAAGTCTTACAGTTTTAAATTTTACATTTATGTCTGTGATCCATTTTACATTTTGAGTTAAATTTTTTCTAATAGGTATGGATTGAGGTTCATCTTTTTTTTTTTTTTTTTTTTTTTTTTTTGAGGGGGAGTCTTGCTCTGTCTCCAGGCTGGAGTGCAGTGGCGCGATCTCGGCTCACTGCAACTTTTGCCTCCCAGGTTCAAGCAATTCTCCTGCCTCAGCCTCCTGAGAAGCTGGGATTACAGGTGTCCGCCACCACGCCCAGCTAATTTTTGTATTTTTAGTAGAGACAGGGTTTCACCATATTGGCCAGGCTGGTCTCAAACTCCTGACCTCGTGATCTGCCCGCCTCAGCCTCCCAAAGTGCTAGGATTACAGGCGTGAGCTGCTGTGCCGGCTGAGGTTCATGTGTTCATCTTTTTTACATAGAGATGTCTTTTTTTTTTTGAGACGAAGTCTCACTCTTGTACCCAGGCTGGAGTGCAGTGGCACGATCTTGACTCACTGCAACCTCCGCCTCCTGGGTTCATGCGATTCTCCTGCCTCAGTCCCCCAAGTAGCTGGGATTACAGGTGCCTGCCACCAAGCCCGGCTACTTTGGTATTTTTAGTAGAGACAGGGTTTCACCATGTTGGCCAGGCTGGTCTGGAACCCCTGACCTCACCCGCCTTGGCCTCTCAAAGTGCTGGGATTACAGGCGTAAGCCACCGCGCCTGGCCAGAGATGTCTTAATTGTTCCAGCACCATTTGTTGAAAAGTCCTTTGGTTTTATTTTTTCTTCTGTTTTTCATCTTTGTCTCTTTTTTTTTCCTTTCTTTTTTTCTATATTTCGTGGGAGATTTTCTTAAGTACTGTCTAGTGTATTTCATTTTCACTTCTACTTTCGTATTTTTAATTTAAGGAACTTTTTTCTTCTTCCTTTACTGTTCCTTTTTTACAGACAATACCCTGTACTGCTTTCATGGTCATAATATCTGCATCATTTGGAGGATATTTTTCTTCATCTCTCTGCTCAGTCTCTGTTTCATGTGAGGCGTGTTTTATCTATACATTTCAGTATCTACTTTTTCATGATGACTATTTCTCAGATGTCTGTAATCCTTGCTTGGCCACTCATATTTAAGAGTGAGTGACTAAAAAGTTGAGTGGAAGCTGTAAACACATGAGTGGGGCTTGTCTATTGTGACCTTAACTATATATATTTAGTGGTCTGTGTCAGTGTCCTAAGAACTTTCCTCCCGGTCTGGCCAGATTTTGCAGAGAGGGATCCTCTAATTTCCTGCCTAGATGGTAGAGGTCTGACTCAGTGTTCTGGAATCTAGGTGGAGGAAAGGGTGAGGGAGGTCTCAGCACTCAGAATACCTGCTTCCACTTAAATCTCCTATTTTCATTATGGCATCCCCTCCCTTAAGTGTGGCCCTTATCCATTTGAGCATTTCTCATGCCTAACCTGGCAGGCATTGTTAATTGAGTAAATGAACTGTGTAGTTTGTTATTCTGTTACATGGCTCTGTTGCAAAGAAACTTCTGAGCATTCACTCTCAATATGTACATATCTATTTAGAAATTGCATACTTTATTGTTTTACTAAATATATTATGTACATTATAAAGCAAATACAAAATTAATAAAGGCTGAGATAAAAATGAAATAATGCTTTCCTGTGCTTCTGTGTGCTGGCTTCATATTTTTATTAGCCAATATCTCAAGGCACAATATACACTTAGAAAAAAACCACATCATTGGTCAATGTAGAGATAAATATGTATTTCAAGTAGTTCTGAGAGGTTTTTACTTTTTTTAAAATTTTTATTATTATTTTTAATTTTTATTTATTTATTTTTTGAGACAGAGTCTCACTCTGTCGCCCAGGCTGTAGTGCAGTGGCGCGATCTCGGCTCACTGTAAGCTCCGCTTCCCAAGTTCACACCATTCTCCTGCCTCAGCCTCCTGAGTAGCTGGGACTACAGGCACCCACCACCATGCCTGGCTAATTTTTTTGTATTTTTTTTGTAGAGACGGGGTTTCACTGTGTTAGCTAGGATGGTCTCAATCTCCTGACCTCGTGATCCACCTGCCTTGGCCTCTCAAAGTGCTGGGATTATAGGCGTGAGCTACTGTGCCTGGCCTGTTTTTTTTTTTTATTTTTTAGTTCTGAGAGTTTTGACTATTTTAACTAACTTCTTGTTAGGTCAGTTTTTTTGTTGTTGTTGTCATTTTTTTTTTTTTTTTAAATAGTGTCTCACTTTGTCACCCAGGCTGGAGTGCAGTGGTGTGTACATGGCTCACTGCACCCTTGACCTCCCAGGCTCATGCAGTCCTCCCACCTCAGCCCTGCAAGTAGCTGGGACTACAGGTGTGCACCGCCACACCTGGCAAATTTTTGTATTTTTTGTAGACATATGGTTTCACCATGTTGCTCAGGGTAGTCTCAAGTTCCTGAGCTCAAGCGGTCACCTGCCTTGGCCTCCCAAAGTGCTGGCATTATAGGCATGAGCCACCGCACCCAGCCATTCAGGTCAGGTTAAATTGTCATTGTTTTAACCTATTAATGTGCCTAAGAGGGTTTGTTAGGAGTAGGTAGCTTTGACATTTTCTATTTGGCTTGAGTTTGTGTCATAGAATTATCTTTCAGATAGAACAGAAACTCATAATAATGAACCCAGTGATAATAAAAACTCAGGTGTAAAAAGATTAACTCTTGCTATTTTTAGCAGGCCCAAACTAGCCATTTTATTAACCTTACAACAACAAATTCCTGCATTTTATGAAACAGAATCTTGAGACCCTATTATTACAACATTACGGTGAGATTAAAGTGTACAGTTCACTGATGGTTGGTGTATTCAGAAGTGTGTAGCTTATATCAGTCAGTTTTAGAACATTTTTATCACCCCAAAAGGTAACTCTGTACACATTAGCAGTCACTCCCTGTTTCCCCACAAACTCCCCAGCTCTAGGCAACCACTAATCTACTTTCTGTCTCTTTAGATTTGCCTCTTTTAAACATTTCATATAGATGGAAACATACGGTATGTGATCCTTTGTGACTGGCTTCTTTTACTTAGTATAATGAACTAAGATTCATTAGTTGTAGCATGTATCAGTACTGTATTCCTTATTGTTGCCAAATAATATTCCATTGTGTGGATATACCACATTTTATTTATCCATTCGTCAGTTTCTGGACATTTGGATTATTTCTACTTTTTAGCTACTATGAATAATACTGCTTTTGATTGATTAATGTACAAGTTTTTGTGTGGACACATAGTTTCAATACTCAGGTATATATCTAGAAGTGGAACTGCTGGATTATATAGGAATTCTCTGTTTAACTTTTGAGGAAGTGCCAAGATGTTTTCCAAAGCAGCTGCATCATTAATCTTTAAGATTAGTATTGTCTATGAATGGCACTTTTTTTTTTTGAGACAAGAGTCACGCACTGTCGCCCAGGCTGGAGTGCCATGGCAGCATCTCAGCTCACTGCAACCTCTGCCTCCTGGGTTCAAGCGATTCTCATGCCTCAGCTTCCTAAGTAGGTGGGACTACAAGCATGTGCCACCGTGCCCAGCTAATTTTTTGTATTTCAGTAGAGATAGGGTTTCATCATCTTGCCCACACTGGTCTCGAACTCCTGAGCTCAAGCAATCCACCCATGTCAGCCTCCCAAAGTACTAGGATTACAAGGGTGAGCCACCACATCTGGCCGTGTGTGTGTGTGTGTGTGTGTGTGCATTTTTTTTTTTTTTTTTTGAGATGGAGTCTTGCTCTGTCGCCCAGGCTGGAGTGCAGTGGTGCGATCTCGACTCACTGCAAGCTCTGCCTCCCGGGTTCATGCCATTCTCCTGCCTCAGCCTCCTGAGTAGCTTGGCCTGCCACCACACCCGGCTAATTTTTTGTATTTTTTAGTAGAGACAGGGTTTCACCGTGTTAGCCAGGATGGTCTCGATCTCCTGACCTCATGATCTGCCCGCCTTGGCCTCCCAAACTGCTGGGATTACAGGCGTGAGCCACCGCACCCTGGCATGTGTGTATTTTTTTAAAATAGAGATGGGGTCTCACTCTGTCACCCAGGCTGGAATGCAGTGGCAAGATCATAGCACATTGTAACCTGGAACTCCTGGGCTCAAGCAATCCTCCCGCCTCAGCCTCCCTGGTAGCTGCCCAGCTAATATTTTTATTTATTTTATTTTAAAATTCATTTAAATGTATTATTTATTTTATTTATTTATTTTTATGTATTTATTTTTTTGAGACGGAGTCTCACTGTGTCACCAAGGCTGGAGTGCAGTGGCACCATGTTGGCTCACTGCAACCTCCGTCTCCTGGGTTCAAGTAATTCTCCTGCCTCAGCCTCCCGAGTAGCTGGGATTACAGGCACCCACCACCATGCCCGGCTAGTTTTTATATTTTTAGTAGAGATGGGGTTTCACCATGTTGGCCAGTCTGGTCTCAAACTCCTGACCTTCAGGTGATCCACCTGCCTTGGCCTCCCAAAGTGCTGGGAATTACAGGTGTGAGCCACTGCACCTGCCCTATTTATTTATTTTTTTTAAGACAGTCTCACTCTTTTGGCCAGGCTGGAGTGCAATGGCGGGATCTCGGCTCACTGCAACCTCTGCCTCCTGGGTTCAAGTGATTCTCCTGCCTCAGCCTCCTGAGTAGCTGGGATTATAGGCATGCACCACCATATCTGGCTAATTTTTTTTTGTATTTTTTTAGTAGAGACGGGGTTTTACCATGTTGATCAGGCTGGTCTCGAACTCCTGACCTCAGGTGATCAGCCTGCCTTGGCCTTCCAAAGCACTGGGATTTCAGGAATGAGCCACCATGCCCAGCCTATTTATTTATTTATTTTTTAGGAGATGGGGTCTTGCTATGTTGCCCAGGCTTGTCTCAAACTTCTTGAGTTCAAGGGATCCTCCCTCCTCGGCCTCCAAAAGTGCTGGGATTGAAGTCACAAGCCACCATGCTCTGCCTATATATATATATATTTTTTTTTTTTTTTTGAGACGGAGTCTTGCTCTGTCGCCCAAGCTGGAGTGCAGTGGCGCGATCCTGGCTCACTGCAAGCTCCGCCTCCTGGGTTCACGCCATTCTCCTGCCCCAGCCTCCCGAGTAGCTGGGACTACAGGCGCCCGCCACTGCGCCCGGCTCATTTTTTGTATTTTTAGTAGAGACGGGGTTTCACCGTGGTCTCGATCTCCTGACCTTGTGATCCGCCCGCCTCGGCCTCCCAAAGTGCTGGGATTACAGGCGTGAGCCACCGCGCCCGGCCCAATATTTTTATTTTTAAGCTTTGTAGAGGTGGAGTCTCACTATGTTGCCCAGGCTTGTCTCAGACTCCTGGCCTCAAGGGATCCTCCCACTTCAGCCTCCCAAAGTGCTGGGGATTATAGGCATGAGCCACTGCACCTGGCTCTCTTTTTCCATTTAGAGGGCAAAGGGATTGAAAAACTGATGAGAGGCTGGGCGCGGTGGCTCACGCCTGTGGCTCACGCCCAGCCTGGGCAACAGAGCAAGACTCCATCTCAAAACCTCACAATTTTGCCAGAGACAGTTCCTATTCGGGATAGTTCATTACCATTAAATCTTCCTTCTTATGTTTCAAGAATCCTTTCTCAAGTAGCTTTGGAATAAAATGAAGTATAACTGAATTATTCTCAATTATTTTGACATCTTAACTATTAAAGCACTGAAAATTCTGGGTATTATAAAAGTAGAGCTTTGGGCAATTTGGAAATGGTGGGAGTTTTTAAAAGTTTGTCTTGCCTTTTCATTAGTTTTCTAGATTTCAAAATGGTTTCCAATCAAGTTGCAAGAAAAATCGGTTTTTCCTTTTGATTCAAATAAACAGAGCACAGGTATCTGAACTAACTGCTTTCAACATAAGTTTTAGCATTCAGTTCACTGACACTAAGGTGGGTAATGCAAACTTTAATGCTGCGTTTGTATTGTAGGCTTTGAGATCCTTACAGCCAAGTAAAGGCTGTGTCTTCTAGATTCTACAGGAACCTCTTCAGAATTCTGATACATTGTAATCAAAACAACATCTATTGGCCCTGCACAGTGGCTCACGCCTGTAATCCCAGCACTTTGGGAGTAATCCCAGCACTTTGGGAGGCCGAGGTGGGCGGATCATGAGGTCAGGAGATGGAGACCATCCTGGCTAACACAGTGAAACCCCATCTCTACTAAAAATACAAAAAAAAAAAAAAAAAAAAAAATTAGCTGGGCGTTGTGGCCAGCGCCTGTAGTCCCAGCTACTTGGGAGGCTGAGGCAAGAGAATGGCATGAACACAGGAAGTGGAGCTTGCACTGAGCCGAGATCGCGCCACTGCAGGCCAGCCTGGGTGACAGGGAGACTCCGTCTCAAAAAAAAAGAAAAAAAATCTATTATTTTTATTTACAATGTTGCTACCACCTTTTCCTACACATTTCATTTTACCCTGTTAACTTTGAGTTGAACAATGTATCAACAAAAGAATGTTAGCCCAGCCTGGTGGCAGGCACCTGTAGTCCCATCTGCTTGGGAGGGTGAGACAGGAGGATCCTTGATCCTGGTAAGCTGAGGTTGCATGAGCCATGATTATACCAATGCACTCCAGCCTGGGCGACAGACTGAGACTCGTTCTCAGATAAATGAATAAATAAAAATATAAAAACAAAAGAATGATCCTTATTGTTGTGTGTCCTTTTATCATTGAATATTAAAAAAACTTTTTGGGCCGGGTGGGGTAGCTCATACCTATAATCTTTGGGAGGCCGAGGCGGGCAGATCACCTGAGATCAGGAGTTCGAGACCAGCCTGACCAACATGGTGAAACCCCATCTCTACTAAAAAATACAAAAGTGGCCGGGTGTGGTGGCTAACCCCTGTAATCCTACCACTTTGGGAGGCCGAGGAGGGTGAATCATTTGAGGTCAGGGGTTCAAGACCAGCCTGGCCAACATGGTGAAACCACATCTCTACTAAAAAGTCAAAAAAAGTTAGCGGGGCATGGTGGTGGGCACCTGTAAACCCTGTAAGCCTGGGTGACTGAGCGAGACTCCGTCTCAAAAGAATAAAGTAAAATAAATTAGCCAGGTGTGATGGCACATGCCTGTAATCCCAGCTACTTGGGAGGCAGAATTGCTTAAACTTGGGAGGCGGAGGTTGCAGTGAGCTGAGATCACGCCATTGCACTCCAGCCTGGGCAACAAGAGCAAAACTCCGTCTCAAAACAAACAAACAAACAAAAAACTTTATGGCAATGGCTATTTCTAGTTCATTTATACCTCATTAACTCATTTAAACTTCAGGTCTGTCATTTATTTTAGGTAGTTATTATCACCATAGGAATAAGTACTGTTAACTTTACTCCTGTAAACTTGCTATTTATTTATTTTGAGACGGAGTCTCGCTCTGTCGCCCAGGCTGGAGGGCAGTGGTGCGATCTCGGCTCACTGCAAGCTCTGCCTCCCGAGTTCATGCCATTCTCCTGCCTCAGCCTTCCCAGTAGCTGGGACTACAGGCGCCCACCACCACACCTGGCTAATTTTTTATATTTTTAGTAGAGATGGGGTTTCACCGTGTTAGCCAGGATGGTCTTGATCTCCTGACCTCGTGATCTGCCCACCTCCGCCTCCCAAATTGCTGGGATTACAGGCATGGGCCACCGCGCCTGACCGAACTTGCTATTTAAAAAAAAAAAATTATTGAGTGCAGTGGCATCTTCATGGCTCACTTCAGCCTTGACTTCCTGGGCTCCAGCAATTCTCCCACCTCAGCCGCCTGAGTAGCTGGGACCACAGACAAGTGCCATCATGCCCCGCTAATTTTTCTATTTTTGTAGAGATGAGGTTTCGCCATGTTGCCCAGGCTGGTCTCAAACTCCTGAGCTCAAGCAATCCATCCGCCTCAGCTCCCAGAGTGCTGAGATTACACACATGAACCACAGCACCCCGCCTCTCTTTCTCATTTTAACAGCCCTGAGTACTAGACCAGGTTAACTGGCAGGATGTAGGGAGTGCTTTTTATTTATTTATTTAGAGATGGAGTTTCGCTCTTGTTGCCCAGGCTGGAGTGCAATGGCACAATCTCAGCTCACTGCAACCTCCTTCTCCCAGGTTCAAGCGATTCTCCTGCCTTAGCCTCCTGAGAAGCTGGGATTACAGGTGTATGCCACCACGCTTGGCTAATTTTTGTATTTTTAGTAGATACGGTGTTCACCGTATCAGCCAGGCTGGTCGTGAACTTCTGGCCTCAAGTGATCTACCTGCCTCAGCCTCCCAAAGTGCTAGAATTACAGGCATCAGCCACTGTGCCCAGCTGTTTTTGTTTTGTTTTGTTTTGTTTAAGTTCTGGGGTACATGTGCAGGATGTGCAGTTTTGTTACATAGGTAAACATGTGCCATGGTGGTTTGCTGCACCTATCACCCAGTCACCTAGGTATTAAGCCACACATGCATTAGCTCTTTTTCCTAACGCTCTCCCCCACTGCCCTCCCCAATTAGTGTGTTCTTTATCCTTCAGAATTAGTGAAGGATTTTTACTGCTTTATAATGATTTCTTTTTTGTTGTTTTTCAGTTGGCTTTCTCCTGTTGAATGGTTTCCTTTTTGTTAATTTCCTTTTTTCTAATCTCTTTAATGTGTTCCCTTTCTGCTGCTTCTTTCCCAATACCAAAGCAGAAAGACACCAGAAACTTCCTGTCCATTTCCATGAATAGAAATGGGGCTCCTCCATTCTCAACAAACCACCCATTAAAACATTTTTTTGTTCTCTCCTCCCTACCCTCCTTCCCCTTTCTCCTGTTCTTGGACTTAGAGGGACAACAGAAATGCGGCCTAATGCAGTGGTTCATGCTTATAATCTCAGCACTTTGGGGGGCTGAGGCAGGAGGATCGCTTGAGCCCAGGAGCTCAAGACCAGCCTGAGCAACACAGTAAGATCCCAACTCACAATAAAAGATTATCTGGGCAGGCCGGGGGCAGTGGCTCATGCCTGTAATCCCTGCACTTTGGGAGGCCAAGGTGGGCAGATCATGAGGTTAAGAGATCGAGACCGGCCGGGCGCGGTGGCTCAAGCCTGAAATCCCAGCACTTTGGGAGGCCGAGACGGGCGGATCATGAGGAGATCGAGACCATCCTGGCTAATACGGTGAAACCCCGTCTCTACTAAAAAATACAAAAAACTAGCCGGGTGAAGTGGCGGGTGCCTGTAGTCCCAGCTACTCGGGAGGTTGAGGCAGGAGAATGGCGTGAACCCGAGAGGAGGAGCTTGCAGTGAGCTGAGATCCGGCCACTGCACTCCAGCCTGGGTGACAGAGCAAGACTCCGTCTCAAAAAAAAAAAAAAAAAAAAAAAAAAAGAGATCGAGACCATCCTGGCCAATGTGGTGAAACCCCGTCTCTACTAAAAATACAAAAATTAGCTGGGGATGGTGGTGTGCGCCTGTAGTCCCAACTACTTGAGAGGCTGAAGCAGAAGAATTGCTTGAAACCAGGAGGCGGAGGTTGCAGTGAGCCGAGATAGCACCACTGCACTCCAGCCTGGCAACAGAGCGAGACTCCGTCTCAAAAAAAAAAAAAAAATTAGCTGGGCATGGTGGTGAGCACCTGTCGTCTCAGCTACTTGGGAGGCTGAGGCAGGAAGATTGCCTGAGCCTTAGGAGGTTGAGGCTTCAGTGAGCTATGATCATGCCACTGTACCACTCCAGCCTGGGCAACAGAGTAAGACCCTGTCTGCAGAAAAAAAAGAAAGAACCATTAGGTTGTGATTTTCATTTTGTTTTTACTAGATGATGTCTTAGGCCCTGCTTGATATTTTATGATTAGGGTTGGCTTTAGCTTGAAAGGTTACTTACTCACGCCAGACTTTTCATCTATCTAATCCCTGTGCTGGGGTCCAAGACTTACGGATGCTTTCTGACCTTTAAAAAAGTCTTTTTTTGGCCGGGTGCAGTGGCTCATGCCTGTAATCCCAGCACTTTGGGAGGCCAAGGCAGGCAGATCATGAGGTCAGGAGATCAAGACCATCTTGGCTAATACGGTGAAACCCTGACTCTACTAAAAATACAAAACAATGAGCTGGGGGTGGTAGCGGGCGCCTGTAGTCCCAGCTACTCAGGAGGCTAAGGCAGGAGAATGGCGTGAGCTTGGGAGGCAGAGCTTGCAGTGAGCCGAGATCGCACCACTGCCCTCCAGCCTGGGCGACAAAGCGAGACTCCGTCTCAAAAAAAAAGAAAGTCTTTTTTGTTTTGATTTTTTTTTTTTTACGAAAAATTTACGACTAGAGCACTTACTTTACTCTGTGCTACATCCAAAGACCAAAAATAGAAATATCGGCTACTCTGGGCACATTTCCTGTGGGGTAGCCCTGCTACTCAAGGAGCAGTAGAAAACGAAATAGGCCCTGTCAGGAAGGTATTTGCATTCTAATAGAGGAGATAAAACCTGCTAGGATATCCCTAATATACAGTATTTGATCAAAGTCGTAGTAATTCATTCTTTGAAATGTCTCTTTGCTCTGTCTCTTTCTTTCTATTTCCACTTCAGCCTAGTGGGTATTTTAATTACACAGTATGCCACAATGCGCCTGGCTGTTCCCAACTACAGTATCAGACACCAGCAAAAGGTGACTTGAATGTGAGGCTGCACATAAGCATACTGTGGTCTTACAACTCTAACATCATCCTGCAGCATGACTAATTCCTACCCACAGATGCTTTTCTTTTCTTATTTATTCATTTATTTATTTATTTATTTTTGAGACGGAGTCTTGCTCTGTCGCCCAGGCTGGAGTGCAGTGGCGTGATCTCGACTCACTGCGAGCTCTGCCTCCCGGGTTCACGCCATTCTCCTGCCTCAGTCTCCCGAGTAGCTGGGACTACAGGAGCCCGCCACCACCCCAGCTAATTTTTGTATTTTTAGTAGAGACAGGGTTTCATCATGTCGGCCAGGATGATCTGGATCTCTTGAACTCGTGACCTGCCTGCCTCAGCCTCCCAAAGTGCTGGGATTACAGGTGCGAGCCACCACACCCGGCTTTACAGATGCTTTTCATGGCAGTCCTCCCTTCCCAGTGTTCTCCGAAGTATGACTGCATTTTTTCAACATCTCTTTAAATTTCCTCGTTTGAAATATGATTTGAAATGGAGCAATTCCCACACACACAAAAGAAATATGAGAGAATGACAAGTCTAATGATATTCTACAAAGAGAGAGAGTTTATAATCAGGGCATTAAGCAAACTCACAAATTACAATTCTCTCACAGAATTGTAAGTAGAAGGTACCGATGTGGAGCATTTTTTTCAACTGATGTATTTATGGGAAATTTTGTTTATTCTCATCAGACATTTAGTAAACGGAACAACTCAATGAATTGGTCCTAATGAATATACCTTGAGAATGGCTGTTTTATCCCCAGCTTCGTTAGGGAGGCTCTGTTGATTCCAAATCTTTTTAAGTGGTTTTCCTGACACTTTCCCCCTCCCCCATATTCTCCATTTAGTTGAGCAACTTGCATCTTAAGGAAGAGAAAATCAAACCAGATGCCAATGGTAAGTAACTAATAGCTAGTTTGAAAACAAATGTGATTTCCTTCAGTATTTTTGTTTTGGTGTAACAACTGTCTGGAAAAAAAAAAATTGTATTTGTACCAGGCAGGGCGTTGGACGATACTGGTATCATCTGATTTTTAAATCAACAAACTGGTTTGTATGACCGAAGTGTTTTTATTTATTTATTTTTATTTGTTTACTTTCTAAGAGACAGGTTCTTGCTCTGTTGCCCAGGCTGGAGTGCAGTGGTTCAATCATGCTTCACTGGAGCCTCAACCTCCCAGACTCAAGTGATCCTCCGCCTCAGCCTCCTGAGTAACTGGGACTACAGGCACAATGCACTATGCCCAACTAATTTTTTATTTTTATTTTTTATAGAGATGAGGTCTCCGGCCGGGCACGGTGGCTCAAGCCTGTAATCCTAGCACTTTGGGAGGCCGAGATGGGCGGATCACAAGGTCAGGAGATCGAGACCATCCTGGCTAACACGGTGAAACCCCGTCTCTACTAAAAAAAAAAAAAATACTAAAAACTAGCCAGGTGAGGTGGTGGGTGCCTGTAGTCCCAGCTACTCGGGAGACTGAGGCAGGAGAATGGCATAAACCCAGCAGGCAGAGCTTGCAGTGAGCTGAGATCCGGCCACTGCACTCCAGCCTGGGTGACAGAGCGAGACTCCGTCTCAAAAAAAAAAAAAAAAAGAGATATGAGGTCTCCGTGGGTTGCCCAGGTTGGTTTCTAACTCCTGGGCTCAAGCAGTCCTCCTGTCTCAGCCTCCCAAAGTGCTGGGATTACAAGAGTGAGATACCGCACCTGGCTTCAAAGTGTTTTTAATACAAGAATGAGGATTGCACACTGATAGCAAGGGTGTGGGAGTGAAAAACGAATTAGGCTACTTAAGTGGGACTAATTACTAACCATGGGACTATACTGACAAAGACTAATTTTTAATGTTCTCAATTTGGGATGAGATAGACAAAGTGGGAGGAATCTGACAGTTTACCTATCCTAATTATTCTGAAATCATATTTATCCAAATTTAAGATTTCCATTATTGTTGATGTACTTAATATTACTGGAAGGTAATGTAACATTTGCCTTTCTCAAAATTCACTTACAATCTTTTTTGTATGATTTTATATAACCACAGTATCATTTGACTATAAATTTATATTAATCAATAATTTATAGGCCGGGTGTGGTGGCTCACACTATAATCCCAGCACTTTGGGAAGCTGAGGTGGGCAGATAACCTGAGGTAAGGAATTCGAAACCAGCCTAACCAACATGGTGAAACCCCATCTCTACTAAAACTACAAAAATTTACCAGGTGTGGTGGTGCACACCTATAATCCCAGCTACTCAGGATGCTGAGACAACGGAATCTCTAGAACCTGGGAGGCAGAGGTTGCAGTGAGCCGAGATCACACCACTGCACTCCAGCCTGGGCAAGAGTGAGACTCCGTCTCAAAAAAAGAGAAAAAAAAATTATTTGCATGAATTTTGTTGGTCTTACTGCTCATTTGTTATATACATGAATTTTAATGGCATTATTGTGTTCACATATTAATAAAATCCCATTTGCATAGATATTCCTCTGTTGAGCATCAAGGTGGTTTCTGATCACTAATTGCTCTAACCTTTCTATAATATTTCAGAAGTATTGATTCAATGAGGGAAATAATAGTTTTTGAGGTACGGGGAGGAGACCTAGAATAGGAAAGAATATGAGCAACAGAGGTCGGGCGCGGTGGCTCACGCCTGTAATCCCAGCACTTTGGGAGGCCGAGGCAGGTGGATCACGAGATCAGGAGATCAAGACCATCCTGGCTAACACGGTGAAATCCCGTCTCTACTAAAAATACAAAAAAAATTAGCCGGGCATGGTGGCGGGTGCCTGTAATCCCAGCTACTCGGGAGGCTGAGGCCAGAGAATGGTGTGAACCCGGGAGGTGGAGCTTGCAGTGAGCTGAGATTGCGCCACTGTACTCCAGCCTGGGCATAACAAATAAATAAATAAATAAAATCTCTCTCTCTCTATATATATGAGCAACAGTGTTTTACACCTTTGTTTATTTAGGGACAATAAAATGTTTTTATCAGCGGCTTGGTTTCCTCATTTTTTTTTGCTCTCTAGGCCTTTACAAAAACTTCTAGTGCTATAGAATTTGAATTGTCCCAGCTATTGGGTATGGGATGTGATTTTGAGTGATGGCCACTTTGTGTCTGATAAAGGTGCTGTTGTCAAGACCAATACCAATGCAGAGAAGACAGATGAAGAAGAGAAAGGTAACACAGCCGTGGAGCTTTATATAATAACAAGCTTCTACATTCTAAGAAAGTGGATTGTTATGAGGCTTCATTTATATACCCAGTTTGGCTCGACTTTAATGGGTGATACAGTGCTAGCATAAAAGTTCAATATAGGGGCCGGGTGCAGTGGTTCACGCCTGTAATCCCAGCACTTTGGGAGGCTGAGGCGGGTGGATCATGAGCTCCGGAGATCAAGACCAACCTGGCTAACACGGTGAAACCCCATCTCCACTAAAAATACAAAAACAAAATATCCAAGCATAGTGGCAGGCACCCGTAGTCCCAGCTACTTGGGAGGCTGAGGCAGGAGAATGGCGTGAACCCAGCAGGCAGAGCTTGCAGTGAGCCAAGATTGAACCACTGCACTCCAGACTGGGAGACAGAGCGAGACTCTGTCTCCAAAAAAAAAAAAAAAAGTTCAATATAAATAGTCAATAGGTGAAGGAGTTCTAATGGTTTACGTTTAGAGAAAGTTTACACTGAACAACTGAACACTTGAACAGGCCATTATAAAAAATTTTAAGTTTATTGGACAATCTCTATTGTCAAATAAAATTAAGCTTAATGTTATTTTGACACATTTGACATGCATGACAAGATGAGACCAACTTGTCCAATATTAAGGTACAGCCGGGTGCGGTGGCTCAAGCCTGTAATCCCAGCACTTTGGGAGGCCGAGACGGGCGGATCATGAGGTCAGGAGATCGAGACCATCCTGGCTAACACAGTGAAACCCCATCTCTACTAAAAAATACAAAAAATTAGCCGGCGCGGTGGCGGGCGCCTGTAGTCCCAGCTACGCGGGAGGCTGAGGCAGGAGAATGGCGTGAACCCGGGAGGTGGAGCTTGCAGTGAGCTGAGATCCGGCCACTGCACTCCAGCCTGGGCGACAGAGTGAGACTCCGTCTCAAAAAAAAAAAAAAAAAAAAAAAAAAATTAAGGTACAGACTTTGTTAATTCCTGTTTTTTTTTCCCATTGTTGTGATTGTTAATTACTTTAGGTTTATACATAGTGCAAATGGGGGAGTAAATATGTGTGTCTGGATAAGAGGAATAGGTAACTGCAGGAAAAGAGGGCTGTTAGATAGAGTCTGGAGAAGAGTATGAGGCCTAAATGGGTGATGTATCATAACTTTTTTCTTTAATAAAACTATTTTAATTTATAAGTCAAAACTATGAGGTACCTTCAAGTTGAATGTTCAGTACATTATTATTCAAAATACAAATGGCAGTTGAATTAGAGTAAATGCTTGGTAGGTTTCAAGGACTTTTAAAAATTCTTTGCTTCCTTTTTCCTGACAGAGGACAGAGCTGCCCAGTCCTTACTCAACAAGCTGATCAGAAGTAACCTTGTCGATAACACAAACCAAGTAGAAGTCCTGCAGCGGGATCCAAACTCCCCTCTGTACTCAGTGAAGTCTTTTGAAGAGCTTCGGCTGTGAGTATTTATTCACTTTCTGACTCTCCCCTTTGCACTGAAATAGAGATCCTAGGTCTGTAATAGATATCTTTTTATCACAACAGAACAGTTTTAGCTAACCAAGGTTTTTTTTTTTTGTTTTTTTTTTAGACGGTGTCTCACTCTTTCGCCCAGGTTGGAGTGTAGTGGCGCGATCTCGGCTCACTGCAAATTCTGCCTCCCGGGTTCAAGTGATTCTCCTGCCTCAGCCTCCTGAGTAGCTGGGATTACAGGCGTGCACCACCACACCCGGCTACTTTTTGTATTTTTAGTGGAGACAGGTTTCACTGTGTTGGCCAGGCTGATCTTGATCTCCTGACTTCGTGATCCACTTGCCACAGCGTCCCAAAGTGCTGGGATTACAGGCATGAGCCAAAGCGCCCAGCCACTAACTAAGTTATATAAAAGAATTTAGCTGCATGCGGTGGTGCACACCTGTAATCCCAGCACTTTTGGAGGCCAAGGTGAGAGGATCACTTGAGGCCAGGAGTTGCAGACCAGCCTGGGCAACAGAGCAAGACCAGACTCCATATAAAAAATATAAACAAATACTTTAGATGTTTTGGGATATTTAGTAAAATTTCCAGATAATGGGTGAAAGCTTTAGCTGTACTAACATGTATTCAGTTCAGCACAGCTCAATTATTGTTGATTACAAACTATGTGTAGGCCAGGCATAGTGGCTGACACCTGTAATCCCAGCACTTTGAGAGGCTGAGGCAGGCAGATCACTTGAGGTCAGGAGTTGCATGGCCAACATGGTGAAACCCTGTCTCTACTGAAAATAAAAAAATTAGGTCAGGTGCAGTGGCTCACGCCTGTAATCTCAGGACTTTGGGAGGCCGAGGCAGGTGGATCACAAGATCCGGAGACCAAGACCATCTTGGCCAACACGGTGAAACCCCGTCTCTACAAAAATACAAAAAAAATTAGTCGGGTGTGGTGGCGGGCACCTGTAGTCCCAGCCACTCAGGAGGCTGAGGCAGGAGAATGGCGTGAACCCGGCAGGTGGAGCTTGCAGTGAACCGAGATCGCACTACTGCACTCCAGCCTGGGCGACAGAGCGAGACTCTGTCTCAAAAAAAAAAAAAAAAAAAACATTAGTAGGGCATGGTGCCATGCACCTGTAATCCCAGCTATTCGGGAGGCTGAGGCATGAGAACTGCTTGAACCCGGAAGGTGGATGTTGCAGTGAGCCGAGACTGCACCATTGCACTACAGCCTGGGCAACAGATTGAGACTCTGTCTCACAAACAAATAAACAAAAAACTATGTGTAAACAGTAAAGGAGAAAAATCCTCCAGATATTTTGCTGCTTTCCTCAACCAAAGAGACAATGACTTTCATCTTTAACTGTTTTTCTAGGAAACCACAGCTTCTCCAAGGAGTCTATGCCATGGGTTTCAATCGTCCATCCAAGATACAAGAGAATGCGTTACCACTGATGCTTGCTGAGCCGTATGTGTCCTATTACAACTCCGTTTCATTTTAGATTTTCCATTTTTGAAAACTTTTATTATTTTCACAGGCCAGCAATGTGGCTTGTGCCTATAATCCCAGCAACTTGACAGGCAAGGCAGGAGGATCGTTTGAGGCCAGGAGCTCAAGACCAGCCTGGGCAATGTAGCAAGACCCTGTCTCAACAAACAACAACAACAACAAAAAAGTTATAAACTTGGCCAGGCGTGGTGGCATGCAGTTATAGTCCCAGCTACTCGGGAAGATGAGGCAGGAGGATCACTTGAACCCAGGAGTTTCAGGCTGCAGTGAACCGTGATCACACCATTGTACTCCATTCTGGGCAACAAAGCAACCCTGTCTAAAAAGAGAAAAAGAGGACGCTGAGGCACAAGATTTGTTTGAACCCGGGAGGCAGAGGTTGCAGTGAGCCGAGATCATATCACTGCACTCCAGCCTGGACAACACAGCGAGAGTTTGTCTCAAAAAAAAAACCAAACAAACAAAAAGGGCGGGTGGGGGGTGGGTGCAGTGGCTCACGCCTGTAATCCCAACACTTTGGGAGGCCAAGGCAGGAGGATCTCTTGAGGTCAAGAGTTCAAGACCAGCCTGACCAACATGAAACCCGACTCTACTAAAAAAATACAAAAATTAGCCAGGTGTTGTGGTGTGCTCCTGTAGTCCCAGCTACTCAGGAAGCTAAGCCACGAGAATGGCTTGAACCCAGGAGGCGGAGGTTGCAGTGAGCCAAGATCACACCACTGCACTCCAGCCTGGGCAACAGAGTGAGACTCCATCTCAAAAAAACCAAAAACAAAAAACAAAAAAATCATTTGTAATATCCCTCTCCCTACATTATTAACATTTTGGAGTGGAGACTTCTAGACTTTTCTCTATGTAAATATATACGTATAACTTTTTTGTTTTTGTTTTTTTGAGATGGAGTCTCACTCTGTCGCCCAGGCTGGAGTGCGGTGGCAAGATTTCAGCTCACTGCAAGCTCTGCCTCCTGGGTTCACTCCATTCTCCTGTCTCAGCCTCCCGAGTAGCTGGGACTACAGGTGCCCGCCAACTAATTTTTTGTATTTTTTTTAGTAGAGATGGGGTTTCACTGTGTTAGCCAGGATAGTCTCTATCTCCTGACCTCAAGAGATCCACCCGCCTCGGCCTCCCAAAGTGCTGGGATTACAGGTGTGAGCCACCGTGCCCAGCCATATATATAACTTTATGGCCAGGGGTGGTGGCTCATACCTGTAATCCCAGCACTTTGGGAGGCCGAGGCGGGCAGATCACCTGAGGTCAGGAGTTGGAGACCAGGCTGGCCAACATCAGTTGGCCAAAAAAAAAAAAAAAAAAAAAGTTGACATATGGCCAGGAGCAGTGGCTTATGTCGGTAATCCCAGCACTTTGGGAGGCCGAGGCCGGTGGGTCACGAGCTCCAGAGATCGAGACCATCCTGGCTAACACGGTGAAACCCCGTCTCTACTACAAATACAAAAAATTAGCCGGGCGTGGTGGCAGGCGCCTGTAGTCCCAGCTACTCAGGAGGCTGAGGCAGGAGAATGGCGTGAAGCTGGGAGGCAGAGCTTGCAGTGAGCCAAGATTGCGCCACTGCACTCTAGCCTGGGCGACAGAGCGAGACTCCATCTCAAGTAAAAAAAAAAAAAAAAGGCCGGGCGCGGTGGCTCAAGCCTGTAACCCCAGCACTTTGGGAGGCCGAGATGGGCGGATCACAAGGTCAGGAGATCGAGACCATCCTGGCTAACATGGTGAAACCCCGTCTCTACTAAAAATACAAAAAACAGGCCGGGCGCGGTGGCTCACGCCTGTAATCCCAGCACTTTGGGAGGCCGAGGCGGGTGGATCACAAGGTCAGGAGATCGAGACCACGGTGAAACCCCGTCTCTACTAAAAATACAAAAAATTAGCCGGGTGCGGTGGCGGGCGCCTGTAGTCCCAGCTACTCAGGAGGCTGAGGCAGGAGAATGGCGTGAACCCCGGAGGCGGAGCTTGCAGTGAGCCGAGATCGCGCCACTGCACTCCAGCCTGGGCAGCAGAGCGAGACTCCGTCTCAAAAAAAAAAAAAAAAAATACAAAAAACTAGCCGGGCGAGGTGGCGGGCGCCTGTAGTCCCAGCTACTCGGGAGGCTGAGGCAGGAGAATGGCGTAAACCCGGGAAGCGGAGCTTGCAGTGAGCTAAGATCCAGCCACTGTACTCCAGCCTGGGCGACAGAGTGAGACTCCTTCTCAAAAAAAAAAAAAAAAAAAAAAAAAAAAAAAAGGTTGACATATAAATAATGTTTTATATGCTGTGTTTTTAAATTATATGATAATCTTCCTATGTTGGTAAATATACATTTGTATCGTATATGCACCATGATTTCATTGTATTGATATATAAAAGTCATTATGTCAAATATAATAGAAGCCAAACAGCTCTAGGAGACCTGAATAATACAGTAACTAAGGTGGTTTCCTGGTGCAGGGCATTTCCCACTTTCACAGGCATACAAATCTCATAGACATTTATTAAAATGCAGGGTCTGAATTTAGTAGGTCTAAGTGGGGACTGAGGGTCAACATTTCTAATAAGCTTGCAGGTGATGCTAATGCTGATGTTTCAGATCACATTCTGAGTAACAAGATTCTAGAGCATGATGGAAATTTAATACAGATTGATCCTATATTTTATATGATTATATACAATTCTGCATATAATCCTAAATTCTGAATCTTTTTTTTTTTTGTCTAAAAATAGATATTTTAGGCCAAGTGTGGTGGTTCATGCCTGTAATCCCAATACTTTGAGAGGCCGAGGTAGGCGGATCGCTTGAGCCCAGGAGTTCGAGAGCAGCCTGGGCAACATGGTGAGACCCTGTCTCTACTAAAAATACAAAAACTTAGCCAAATATGGTGGCATGTGCCTGTAGTCCCAGCTACCCGGGAGGCTGAAGTAGGAGGTAACCTGAGCCCAGGAGATTGAGGCTACAGTGAGCAAAGATTGCACCACTGCACTCCAGCCTGAGCAACAGAGTGAGACCCTGTCTCAAAAAATCATAAATAAAAATAAAAATAGATATTTTGGGTCTGTATTTTCTCAAGTTTTCTTTGTTCTGTGTCATAACAGTGACATTTTCTCCAGATGGATAGTGTCTTTTTTTTAGCTTGGGACTTTGAGCATGCTTAGGGTGAATAAATGGAGTATTTATGACATGGTTTCATATTGATCATTTATATTTGTGGATCTAATATTTTTGTAGATGCTAACTTTTTTTTTTTCTGTGAGATAAGGTCTCACTCTGTCACCTAGGCAGGAGTACAGCAGTGTAGTCATAGCTTACTGCACCCTGAGCACCTGGGCTTAAGCAATCCTCCTGCCTCAGCCTCCCAGGTAGCTAGGACTACAGGCCCGTGCTGCCATGCCTAGCTAATTTTCTTTATTTAATAGAGATGGGCGTTTTGCTATGTTGCCCAGACTGGTCTTGATCTCGTGGCCTCAAGCAATCCTCCCACCTTGGCCTTCCCCCAATTTTTTTTTTTTTTTGAGACAGTTTGTCACTCTGTTATCCAGGCTAGGTGCACTGGCACCATCTTGGCTCACTGCAATTTCTGCCTCCTGGGCGCAAGCAATCCTCCCACCTTGGCCTCCCAAGTAACTGGGGCCACAGGTGCAAACCACCATGCCTGGCTAATTTTTATACAATTTTTTTTTTTTTTTTTTTTTTTTTTTGAGACTCGGCTCACTGCAACCACCGCTTCCCAGGTCCCAGTTCAAGTAATTCTCCTGCCTCAGCCTCCCAAGTAACTGGGATTACAGGCACACTCCACCATGCCCAGCTAATTTTTTTGTATTTTTAGTAGAGATGGGGTTTCACCATGTTGGCCAGGCTGGTCATGAACTCCTGACCTCGTGATCTGCCCCCCTCGGCCTCCCAAAGTGCTGATATTACAGGTGTGAGCCACCACACCAGGCCTAATTTTTATATCTCTATCAGAGACAGAGTTGTGCTATGTTGCCCAGGTTGGTCTCAAACCCCCAAAGTGTTGGGATTACAGGTATGAGGTGTCACACCAGGCTTTTTTTGTTTTTGTTTTTCAGGGGGGCTTTGGTAGAGATGGGGTCTTACTTTGTTGCCCAGACTTGTCTTGAACTCCTAGGCTCAAGCACGCTTCCCACCTTGCCTTCCCAAAGTGCTAGGGTTACAGGCATGAGCCATTGGGCCTAGCCAAGAAGCTCATTTTTAGATTGACAATATTAGAAGAGACCAGCATTATTACTAGAATTATCTAGTACCTTTTATCATCAACAAATACTTATTGAGTGCCTGTTATATAACAGATACTATGCTAGGCACTTGGATACATTAGTCAACAATGCAGAACAAAATTCCTGCCCACAAGGAGCTTACATTCTAGTTTGAAATATAGCTAATTCGGCCGGGCGCGGTGGCTCAAGCCTGTAATCCCAGCACTTTGGGAGGCCGAGGCGGGCGGATCACAAGGTCAGGAGATCGAGACCACAGTGAAACCCCGTCTCTACTAAAAATATAAAAAATTAGCCGGGCGCGGTGGCGGGCGCCTGTAGTCCTAGCTACTCAGGAGGCTGAGGCAGGAGAATGGCGTGAACCCAGGAGGCGGAGCTTGCAGTGAGCCGAGATCGCGCCACTGCACTCCAGCCTGGGCAACAGCGTGAGACTCCGTCTCAAAAAAAAAAAAAAAAAAAAGAAATATAGCTAATTCATTTTTATTAAAATATAACAGGTGATAAATTACAAATGTTAATGCTGCTGAATAGCACACTTAAAAGTGGGTAAAAGGGCAAATTTTATGACTTTTTTTTTACTTCAAATAAAAATAATAAATTTTGGCCACGTGCAGTGGCTCATGCCTGTAATCCAAGCATTTGGGGAGGCTGAGGCAGGCAGATCATTTGAGGTCAGGAGTTCGAGACCAGCCTGGCCAACATGGTGAAACCCCGTCTCTACTAAAAATACAAAAAATTAGCTGGGCGTGGTGGCATGTGCCTGTAGTCCCAGCTACTCAGGAGGCTGAGGCAAGAGAATCACTTGAACCCAGGAGGCAGAGATTGCAGTGAGCTGAGATCGCACCATTGGACTCCAGCCTGGGTGACAGAGTGACCCTCCGTCTCAAAAAAAAAAAAAAAAAAAATTAATAGGCCGGGCGCGGTGGCTCAAGCCTGTAATCCCAGCACTTTGGGAGGCCGAGACGGGTGGATCACGAGGTCAGGAGATCGAGACCATCCTGGCTAACACGGTGAAACCCCATCTCTACTAAAAAATACAAAAAAAAAACTAGCCGGGCGAAGTGGCGGGTGCCTGTAGTCCCAGCTACTCGGGAGGCTGAGGCAGGAGAATGGCGTGAACCCGAGAGGAGGAGCTTGCAGTGAGCTGAGATCCGGCCACTGCACTCCAGCCTGGGTGACAGAGCAAGACTCCGTCTCAAAAAAAAAAAAAAAAAAAATTAATAAATTTTGGCCAGGCACAGTGGCTCATGCCCATTATCCCAGTAATTTGGGAGGCCAAGGCAGGCAGACGGCTTGAGCCCAGAAGTTTGAGACCAGCCTGGGCAGCACAGTAAGACCTCATCATTATTAAAAGGTAAAAATAAAAAAGAAATTAAATGTACAACACTTTATTCTAACTACAAGGGGTAACAGATGTTTTGACAGGGAATCTAGATGTTTAAACAGAAATAGAATAAAGAGTTACCACTGTGGTGGCTGGGCGCAGTGGCTCACACCTGTAATCCCCGGACTCTGGGAGGCTGAAGTGGGCGGATCACTTGAGGTCAGGAGTTCGAGACCAGCCTGGCCAACATGGTGAAACCCATCTATACAAAAAAAAATACAAAAATAGCCAGGCATGGTGGTTCATACCAGCCCCAGCTACTCAGGAAGCTGAGACACCAGAATTGCGTGGAACCCGCGCAGTGGCGGCTACAGTGAACTGAGATTGTGCCACTGCACTCCAGCTTGGGCGACAAAGTGAGACCTTGTTTCAAAAAAAAAAAAAAAGACCAGGTGTGATGGCTCACGCCTGTAATCTCAACACTTTGGGAGGTCCGAGGCGGGTGTATCACCTGAGGTCAGCAGTTCGAGACCAGCCTGGCCAACATGGTGAAACCCCATCTCTACTAAAAATACAAAAATTAGCTGGGCGTGGTGGCGGGCACCTGTAATCCTGGCTACTCGGGAGGCTGGGGCAGAAGAATTGCTTGAACCCAGGCGGTGGAGGTTGCAGTGAGCTGAGATCGCACCTTTGCACTCCAGCTGGGCAACAAGAGCAAAACTCCGTCTCAATAAAGAAAAAAAAAAAAACAAAAGAAGTCCCCACAAGGAACAGCTTACTTTTGCCAGATTTTTAAATTCCACCTGTGGCTGGGGGCCCTCCCCATGGCTTCACTTTTAGTACATGTTTCTTCTGTTCTTTTTTTCTTCTTTTCCTACTGGAAGACCTCATTTTCCTTGTCCATCTCTTTGGCCTGCCGCGGCTGCTCCATTTTTTTGTTTTTTGTTTTTTGAGACAGGGTCTTGCTCTGTCACCAGGGCAGCAGTGCAGTGGCGCAGTCTCAGCTCACTGCAGCCTGCAACCTCTACCCTCCACCTCCTGGGCTCAAGAGATCCTCATACCTCAGCCTCCCGAGTAGCTGGGACTACGGGTATGTACCACCATGTCCAGCTAATGTTTGTATCGTTTGTAGAGAAAGGGTTTCGGTATTTTGCCCAGGCTGGTCTCGAACTCCTAGGCTCAAGAAATCACCCACCTCAACCTCCCAAAGTGCTGAGATTGCAGGCATGAGCCACCGCACCTGACCTTGCCTGCTTTTTTTTTTGAGACTGAGTCTCACTCTGTCACCCAGGCTGGAGTACAGTGGCACGATCTTGGCTCACTGCAACCTCTGCCTTGTGGGTTCAAGTGATTCTCCTGCTTCAGCCTCCCAAGTAGCTGGGACTACAGGCGCTCACCACCATGCCTGCCTAATTTTTGTAATTTTAGTAGAGGCAGGGTTTTACCTTGTTGGCCAAGCTGGTCTCAAATTCCTGACCTTGAATGATCCACCCACCTCGGCCTCCCAAAGTTCTGGGATTGCAGGCATGAGCTACTGCACCTGGCCTTGCCTGTTTCTTGAGCTGCTTCAGAGGCTGCTTCTTGCCACCTTCAAGGCAAGACTTGGTTCTTGCCACTCTTACCCCTACCCTGCTACCAAAACCTACATCTTGTATTTTTTAGGCATTTCAAAGTAGATTACACTTTTAAATCAAGTGGTTAAGGTAGGATCTCCTGAAGTAGGTGAAATCTGGGCAAAGACTTGAAGGAGAGAAGGGAGTTAGCATGTTATCTGGGGACAGTAGTCCCAAGCACAACACAGCCAGTGCAGAAGCCCTAAGAAAAGAGCATGACTGGCATGTTCTCGGAGCAGCACTGGGGCCCTGTGGGGGAGCGAAGTAAGGGAGAGAAAGAGAGAGTAGTAGGAAATGAGAGCTGAGGTGTAATGGGGAGCAAATCATGCAGGACCCTGTATGCCATTATGAGGGTTTCAACTTGTATTTTGAATGAAACGAGGAATTATTGGAAGGTTTTTGGGCAGAGAAGTAACATGAGCTGACTCACATTTGAAAAAAATCAGTAGGCTCACTGCAGTGACTCACACCTATAATCCCAGCGCTTTGGGAGGCTGAGGCAGGAGGATCACTTGAGCCCAGGAGGCTGAGGCTGCAGTGAGCCAAGATTGTGCCACTGTACTCCAGCGTCTCCTATAAATGAATTTTTAATACTAAAAAGGTTACTTGAGATTTAAGCTCCTAACCAGTTTGTTTCTTGTGCAGCCCACAGAACTTAATTGCCCAATCTCAGTCTGGTACTGGTAAAACAGCTGCCTTCGTGCTGGCCATGCTTAGCCAAGTAGAACCTGCAAACAAATACCCCCAGGTAAGGATTTATGAATTTAGGTTTCTACTAATGCATAGATAGAGGGGATTTCCATTTGATGGATTAAAAGGCAAGCCGTGGGCCGAGTGCGGTGGCTCAGGCCTGTAACCCCAGCACTTTGGGAGGCTGAGGTGGGCAGATCACCTGAGGTCAGGAGTTCTAGACCAGCCTGGCCAACATGGTGAAACCCCATCTATACTAAAAATAAAAAATTAGCCGGGCCTGGTGGTGTGTGCCTGTAATCCCAGCTACTTGGGAGGCTGAGGCAAGAGAATCATTTGAACCTAGGAGGCAGAGGTTGCAGTGAGCTGAGATTACACCGCTGCACTCCAGCCTGGACAAAAAGAACGAAACTCTGTCTCAAAAAAATAAAATAAAAGCCAAGCTATGCATTTATGCATTACTTTTTACACAAACTAAAACTCCTTAAATTGAGCACAAATAATGTGGAATATCCTCTAACAGCAGTAAAAATCCTGTTTCCTTTTTCATGGTGTGCCAGTTCTGGGATGCTTCTTATAGGCCTGGCTCCTTTACTTGCAGGAAAACCTGTTTCATCAGCAACTGTCATCCATTAGAAAGTTCTGAGAGCTTTCTGAGTAAATGAAAAGAAAGCTAATGCCAACTGGAACTTTAGATCCGTGCTCATGGGTAGGTTTTGTACTGCAATGGCCAGTGTCTGTTTCCAAGTGTCTTTACCTACCCAGAGTTCTGACACCTAAGAATTCTAGCTTATGATGCTGTAGCTTAAAGAATCAAATGGTGGCCGGGCGCGGTGGCTCAAGCCTGTAATCCCAGCACTTTGGGAGGCCGAGACGGGCGGATCACGAGGTCAGGAGATCGAGACCATCCTGGCTAACACGGTGAAACCCCGTCTCTACTAAAAAATACAAAAAACTAGCCGGGCGAGGTGGCGGGCGCCTGAGGCTGAGGCAGGAGAATGGCGTAAACCCGGGAGGCGGAGCTTGCAGTGAGCCGAGATCGCGCCACTGCACTCCAGCCTGGGTGACAGAGCCAGACTCCGTCTCAAAAAAAAAAAAAAAAAAAAAGAATCAAATGGTGTACACTTTAATGTACATATTCTTTCCTTCATCTTCAGCTGGAGGAGTGGCTAAGTCCTAATGGTAATTCCCCTTTGCAAAAGAGCTATTGTCTTGAATTTGCACTCTGCACTCTTTCCCTACCAGTGTCTATGCCTCTCCCCAACGTATGAGCTCGCCCTCCAAACAGGAAAAGTGATTGAACAAATGGGCAAATTTTACCCTGAACTGAAGCTAGCTTATGCTGTTCGAGGCAATAAATGTGAGTATGTGAATGTGGTCCTAAATCATCAACCTAATTCTTTTTATTTTGAAACATTTCAAAACATACCCAATAGTTGAAATAATACAATAAACACATGTATTTTTCCACCTAGATTCAAAAACTTAACATTTTGCCATATTTGCTTTACATAAATGTATACATTTTTGTCAAACCATTTGAAAGTAAACTGCAGACATGCACCTCATCAGGACATTCCTTGGCATCCCAGCACTTTGGGAGGCTGAGGTGGGCAGATCACCTGAGGACAGGAGATAGAGACCATACTGGCCAACATGGTGAAACCCCATCTCTACTAAAAATAGAAAAATCAGCCAGGCATGGTGGCGTGCGCCTGTAGTCCCAGCTACTCAGGAGGCTGAGGCAGGAGAATCACTTGAACCCGGGAGGTGGAGGTTGCAGTGAGCCAAGATCATGCCACTACACGCCAGCCTGGGCGACAGAGCAAGACTCTGTCTCAAAAAAAAAATTTTTTTTTTTTTTGGTAAAGACTTCTTTTTTTTTGTAAAGACAGTGTCTTGCTATGTTGCCCAAGTTGGTCTAGAACTCCAAGTCTCAAGCAATCCTCCTGCCTCAGCCCCTCAAAGTGATGGGATTACAGGTGTGAGCCACTAGGCCAGGACTGAATTTGTTTAATTACCTAATTTACTTCTCTTCATCAGCAGAATAAAAACCCAGAATGTTTATGGCTATTGACTCTGGGGATTATTCTGTTAATTCTTTTTTGTTACTAATTTTTTCTACACTAGTTTGTTTTACAACTAATATTACTTAAGTAATTTTAAAACTGTTGTTGGCCAGGCGTGGTGGATCATGCCAGTAATCTCAGCACTTTGGGAGCCCGAGGTGGCTGGATCATTTTAAGGTTAGAAGTTCGAGACCAGCCTGACTAACATGATGAAACCCTGTCTCTACTAAAAATACAAAAAAATTAGCCGGGCATGGTGGTGCACACCTGTAATCCCAGCTACCCAGAAAGCTAAGGCTGGAGAATTGCCTGAACCCGGGCCGGGGGGTGGGGGGAGGTTGCAGTGAGCCGAGACAGCACCACTGTACTCCAGCCTGGGCGACAGCATGAGATTCTATCTCTAAAAAAAAAAAAAAAATGTTAGAGGTTTGGTTGAGTTTTATGGATCTCTGAAACAAATGTGACTTTATGAAAATCAAGTCTGCATACAATGTCCGAATGCCAACCTGAGGCCAGTTCTGAAAAGTAAATAATATAATGAAACTTATTGGGAGATAATCATTTAAAATTTTGCAATTTGTATTCAAAGTAGAAGGGTAGAAAATTCTGATTTTTTTTTCTTTTTTTTTTTTGAGACAGAGTCTCACTCTGTCGCCCAGGCTGGAGTGCAGTGGCACGATCTCGGCTCACTGCAAGCTCCACCTCACGGGTTCACGCCATTCTCCTGCCTCAGCCTCCCGAGTAGCTGGGACTACAGGCGCCCGCCACCACGCCTGGCCAATTTTTGTATTTTTAGTAGAGATGGGGTTTCACCATGTTGGCCAAATGATCTCCAACTCTTGACCTCGTGATCTGCCCGCCTCAGCCTCCCAAAGTGCTGGGATTACAGGCATGAGCCACGGCACCTGGCCTTTTTTTTTTTTTTTTTTTTTTTGAGACAGAGTCTCCCTCTGTCACCCAGGCTGGAGTGCAGGGATGCAATCCTGGCCTACTGCAACCTCCGCCTCCTGGGCTCAAGTGATTCTCGTGCCTCAGCTTCCTGAGGAGCTGGGATTACAGGCATGCGCCACCACGCCCAGCTAACATAAAAGCAACTGACATATTTGAAATAGATGCCAGGATAGAGCTGAAGGGGCAGAGTGCATTAGAAAGATAAGAACTGTGAAAAAGTCTGCCTAAGAGGAAGTGTCCCAGTCTGTTGTTGATAGAAATGTTGACAGAAAAAAAATAAAGATCAGATACTTCAGAGAGAATTGGATGATTACAGAGATGAGAAGAATGCTACTGAAGAGGATTCATCTTCTAATTGTTTATATCCTTACTATGTCTTTTCAGCATTTTTTTTTTTTTTTTTTTTTGAGAGGGAGTCGCGCGCTGTCGCCCGGGCTGGAGTGCAGTGGCCGGATCTCAGCTCACTGCAAGCTCTGCCTCCCGGGTTCACGCCATTCTCCTGCCTCAGCCTCCCGAGTAGCTGGAACTACAGGCGCCCGCCACCTCGCCCGGCTAGTTTTTTGTATTTTTTAGTAGAGACAGGGTTTCACTGTGTTAGCCAGGATGGTCTCGATCTCCTGACCTCATGATCCGCCCGTCTCGGCCTCCCAAAGTGCTGGGATTACAGGCTTGAGCCACCGCGCCCGGCCAGCATTTTTTTTAATTTTTGAATTTTTGTGGGTACATAGTAGGTGTATATGTTTATGGGGTACATGAGATGTTTTTATACAGGCATGCAATGCATAATAATCACATCAGGGTAACTGGGGTATCCATTGACTCAAGCATGTATCCTTTCTTTATGTTATAAACAATTTTAGTTTGTGGTTGTTTTTTTTGGTTCTTGTTTTTGTTTTTTTAGACGGATTCTCACTCTGTCGCCCAGGCTGGAGTGCAGTGGTGCAATCTCAGCTCACTGCAACCTCCACCTGCCGGGTTCAAGAGCTTCTCCTGCCTCAGCCTCCTGAGTAGGTGGGACAACAGGTGCCCACCACACTAATTTTTTTTTATTTTTAGTAGAGATGGGGTTTCACCATGTTGGCCAGGCTGGTCTTGAACTCCTGACCTCAGGTGATCCGCTTGCCTTGGCCTCCCAAAGTGCTGGGATTACAGGCGTGACCCACTGCTCCCTGCCTGTTTTTTTTTTTTTTTTTTTTTTCAGACAGAGTTTCACTCTTGTTGCCCAGGCTAGAGTGCAATGGCGCAATCTCAGCTCACTGCAACCTCTGCCTCCCGGGTTCAAGTGATTCTCTTTCCCCAGCCTCCCAAGTAGCTGAGATTACATGAGCCCACCATCACACCCAGCTAATTTTTGTATTTTTAGTAGAGATGGGGTTTCGCCATGTTGACCAAGCTGGTCTCGAACTCCTAACCTCAGGTGATCTGCCTCCCAAAATGCTGGGATTAGAGTCATGAGCCACCGCGCCCAGCCCTTTTAGTTATTTTTAAATGTACATTAAATTGTTGACTGTAGTCACTCAGTTGTGCTATCAAATACTGGATCTTACTTATTTTAATTGTATTTTTGTACCAATTACCTTTTCAGCATTTTGTCTGGTTTTATGTCCATTAAATACTATAGTGCTATCCTAACATTTCCTTAATATATTAATGCAAACAGCAAAACATTTGCATTAAAATATATAATAGGTTTAGAATTTCTTAGAAAGAAGAGCTGGCTTTGCCTTTGAAATACCCATGGAGGCGGGCACGGTGGCTCACGCCTGTAATCCCAGCACTTTGGGAGGCTGAGGCAGGTGGATCACCAAGTCAGGAGTTCAAGACCAGCCTGGCCAAGATGGTGAAACCCGTCTCTACTAAAAATACAAAAAAAATTAGCCAGGTGCAGTGGCAGGTGCCTGTAATCCCAGCTATTTTGGAGGCTGAGGCAGGAGAATTGCTTGAACCTGGGCGGCAGAGGTTGCAGTGAGCCAAGATGTTGCCACTGCACTCCAGCCTGGGCAACAGAGTGAGACTCCGCCTCAAAAAACAAAACAAAACAAAAACAAAAAGAAAAAATGCAAACAAACAAAAAAAACAAAAGAAATATCCATGCATGGAAAACATCTTGGGTCTCCACAGTGGAAAGAGGCCAGAAGATCAGCGAGCAGATTGTCATTGGCACCCCTGGGACCGTGCTGGACTGGTGCTCCAAGCTCAAGTTCATTGATCCCAAGAAAATCAAGGTGTTTGTTCTGGATGAAGCTGACGTCATGATAGCCACTCAGGGCCACCAGGATCAGAGCATCCGCATCCAGAGGTAGGGATCTCGAGGGCAGAGGACTCCTCAGCCTCCCCATCTGCAGTGTCTTCTCCCTTCACTTCAGACGCCTCCTCTGGCCTCTGCCAGGGTCTTGTCTCTCGTACTCTCAGCAGCATTTGTTTGACAGGCCATTTCCTTGTCAGCACTGACCACAGTCCCTCCCAGCCTGGGCTGAGAAAGGAGACCCCAACCCCTGTCCCCCACCCAGGCCTGCTGCTCCTCCTTCCCCTTCAGCCTTCCTGGGCATCTAGACCCAGCTGGGGAGGCTGTGCTTCCGCTGCTTCCCGGGGCCACCTGGGGCCACATGCCAGGGCCTTCCCTTGCAGGATGCTGCCCAGGAACTGCCAGATGCTGCTTTTCTCTGCCACCTTTGAAGACTCTGTCTGGAAGTTTGCCCAGAAAGTGGTCCCAGACCCAAACATTATCAAACTGAAGCGGGAGGAAGAGACCCTGGACACCATCAAGCAGTACTATGTCCTGTGCAGCAGCAGAGACGAGAAGTTCCAGGCCTTGTGTAACCTCTATGGGGCCATCACCATTGCTCAAGCCATGATCTTCTGCCATGTGAGTAGTAGCAGCAGTGGCAGGCCTGGCCCTTCCCTCTCAGCCAGCTCCCCACAGGGCTCAGGAGGACTGGATGCCCCTGGGCGCCGTGGGAAGAAAGGAAGTGGTTTGTTCTCCTAAGGTTTTAATGAGTTGTAGGAGGGAGACTTTGATTCCACTTCTTAGTGATTACTGGGGGAAAAAACCCCAAGTAACAGCCAATGAAATAATCTTTAGATTTTTAAGAATATAAGCTGGGCAGCCAGCACGGTGGCTCATGCCTGTAATCCCAGCAATTTTGGAGGCCGAGGCAGGTGGATCACCTGAGGTCAGGAGATCAAGACCAGCCTGGCCAACATGGTGAAACCCTGTCTCTACTAAAAATACAAAAAATTAGCCCTGTGTGGTGGTATGCACCTATAACCCCAGCTACTCAGGAGGCTGCAGCAGGAGAATCACTTGAACCCAGGAGGTAGAGGTTGCAGTGAGCCAAGATTGTGCCATTGTACTCCAGCCTGGGTAACAAGAGCGAAACTCCGTCTCAATACAAAAACAAGCAAACAAAAAAACCCAACAACAAAAAAAGAATATAAGCTGGGCAAGTACATGTAGTCCCAGCTACTCAAAAGGCTGAGGTGGGAGGATCGCTTAAGCCCAGGAGTTCAGGCCAGCATGGGCAACAACATAGTGAGACCTCATCATTAAAAAAATATATATGGCTGGGCACGGTGGCTGACGCCTGTAATCCCAGCCCTTTGGGAGGCTGAGGTGGGGGGATCTTCTTGAGCCCAGGAGTTCAAGACCAGTTTGCACAACATAGCAAGATCCCATCTCTACAAAAATTTTAAAAATTAGCCAGGCGTGGTGGTGCGTGCCTATGGTCCCAGCTGCTTGGGAGGCTCAGATGGGAGGATTGATTGAGCCCAGGAGGTTGAGACTGCAGTGAGCTGTGATTGTGCCACTGCACTCCAGAGTGGGCAACAAAATGAGATCCTGTCTCAAAAAATATATAAAATTTTAATATATATATATATTTTGTTTGTTAGTTTTTGAGATAGGGTCTTGCTCTATCATTCAGGCCAGAATACAGTGGCATGATCATAGCTCACTGCAGCCTTGGCTGTTGTTACTAGGGCTACAGGTGTGTGCTCCATGTATGTCAGGCTAATTATTTTTATTTTTGTAGAGATGGGGTCTTGCTCTGTTGTGCAGGCTGGTCTCAAACTCCTAGCCTCAAGCGATCTTCCAGTCTCAGCCTCCCAAAGCGCTGAGACTACAGGCACAAGCCACCATATCTGGCAAGAACATAGACTATTTAGGAATGAAGATCTTTAGCTAAAACCACACTCTCCCTAGATAAAAAACTAACAGCAGTTACGTAACTTATCTAAAAAGAAAGAAATCATATGACGAAAATTCTATTTGAAAAAAAAATTTTTTTTTGAGATGGGTTCTTGCCATGTTGCCCAGGCCAGCCTTGAACTCCTGGGCTCAAGTGTGTAGCTTGGACTGTAGGTATGTACCACCATACTTCATTGATAAATTTTAAGCCTAACCTCCTAACTGGATTTAGCAGCGCCTTCATGTATTTTAATTGTGGCAAGCCCCTTTTTTGCAGTTGTCTTCCTTTTGTTTTTAATAGGTCTGTTCATATAAAACAATTCTTTTCACTACAGACTCGCAAAACAGCTAGTTGGCTGGCAGCAGAGCTCTCAAAAGAAGGCCACCAGGTGGCTCTGCTGAGTGGGGAGATGATGGTGGAGCAGAGGGCTGCGGTGATTGAGCGCTTCCGAGAGGGCAAAGAGAAGGTTCTGGTGACCACCAACGTGTGTGCCCGCGGTGAGCAGAGGATGTGTCCTACCTGGTCTGCCAGGCTCGGGGTCCCAGGCCCAGTTAGAGCTAGAAATCCTTGTACACAGGGAAGTCAGATGGTCTCAGGGAGATCGGTGGGGTTGGTGACAATATTCCTTTCTAGGAGAGACTGCATTTCCCTCAGGTGATAAAAACTCCCACAGAAACCAGGAGTCTTGACTTGGTGGAAGGAAATGTACAGGCATCTGACTGGTAGAGAACAGAGCCTGCTCTTCCAAGGGCGCCCATCTCCAGAACATTGTGTCTCCTGGAGGCTTACTGACTGATTTCATAATTTTGTTGGCACCTGCCAGTTTTGTTATTTTCCTCCAGGTTCTGCTATATGCCTGTATGTGCCCTCTCTTGTACCCAATTCCCAGAGTTGGCCTGTCCCCCCAGTTTTTTTTTTTTTTTTTAGACAGAGTCTCGCTCAGTAGCCCAGGCTCGAGTGCAGTGGCACAATCTCAGCTCACTGTAACCTCCACCTCCTGGGTTTAAGTGATTCTCCTGCCTCAGCCTCCTGAGTAGATGGGATTACAGGCGCCTACCATCAAGCCCAGCTAATTTTTGTATTTTTAGTACAGCCGGGGTTTTGCAGTGTTGGCCAGGCTGGTCTTGAACTCTTGACCTCAGCTGATCTGCCTGCCTCGGCCTCCCAAAGTGCTGGGATTACAAGTATGAGTCACCATGCTCGGTCCCCCAAATTCTTTCCCTCTACCCAAAGTTGGTATGTATTGACTTACCTTTGGACAACAGTGATTTTTGTCTCTTGTCCTTACTTCTCTCTGTCTCCAACTCTCAGGGACTCATTCATCACCTCTCCCTGTACCCCACCCCGTGGCCCCTGCTAGTTTGGTTTCTGTGCCTGTAGTTTTGCTTTTGGGCATCATCTAAATCTTGCACTGCATGGCCTTTCAGATCTGGCTTCCTACACTTGACGTCATATACATCTCTTAGTGCCGAGTTCCCTTAATGCTGAGTCATGCTCCATTGTATGGATGGACCACATGACTGATTTGTCTCCTGTCCTTGGTCTTCTCAGCTTCCATCTCTCCTTCCCGCAGGCATCGATGTTGAACAAGTGTCTGTCGTCATCAACTTTGATCTTCCCGTGGACAAGGACGGGAACCCTGACAACGAGACCTACCTGCACCGGATCGGGCGCACAGGCCGCTTTGGCAAGAGGGGCCTGGCAGTGAACATGGTGGACAGCAAGCACAGCATGAACATCCTGAACAGAATCCAGGAGCATTTTAGTGAGTCCCGGGGAGGGTCCTGTGCCTGGTGCCCTTTACTAAGGAGGGTGGAGTGGGGAAAGGGGTAGGATCTTCTGTAGCCCCGAGAGAGGCTCTGTCCCTGGCACACTCCCCTCCTTTCTGACCATATGGCAGTTCTCAGGGCCACACCTGGAGACTTCAGGACCCAAGGACTCCAAGGACAGCTCCCCCATGACCGGGCTTCGGGGCGTGGGGCTCTGACTGTTGCTGTCAGTGACTAGGGGCCCTGCTGCCCCCTGCTCAGGCACCCGGAGCCTTTGGGGATGAATGAATGATTGCTGTGGCCCAGGGTGGGGCACATTCCTGGGCACGGTAGAGACCTGTGTATTTTTCCCCCAGATAAGAAGATAGAACGATTGGACACGGATGATTTGGATGAGATTGAGAAAATAGCCAACTGAGAAGCTCCACCAGCCACTGGTGCCAGCCCTGACACTGCCCCTGCACGGGAGACAAGTGCGTTCAGGGCACAGCCCCCAACATCACCCCAAGGACAACGGCATGAGTAGAGAGAAACTACCTACCTCACTTCAAATTATGTTTGGACTTGACAAAAATGTGTGCAAATGATGGGGGATGGTAGAAAAAAATTATTTACACAACCTTGGAAGATTAGGCATGAATACACAGAGATTTACCTTTTGGAAGTTTCATCTTTTAATTTGGCCAGTGTTTCCTTCATGCTAATCTAGATGCTGTGGCTGATTGCTTGCCTAGGATCTCCTGTGGCAGCCTCTGCTTATTCTCTGGCTTGGAGTGGATGGGCCAGCCTCCAGCTCCTGTGGAAGTAATGGAATAGCGGTGAAAAGGGAACACAGAGAGGGAGGCCTCCAGTAAGATAGGTGTGTAAGCCCAGCCATCATGTTTGGAATGGCATGAAGCAGCAGAGGCCTGAGAGCTGCTGCTTTGGACTTGGGGGTGGGACAGCTCACCTGAGTATTGCCAGCCCCCTGTCCTAATGCCCACAGCAGAAGGGGATTTGTTAAATAAGCACGGACCAAAATGCCAGCTTCTCCGACCTGTGTATATGGGTTTGTGTCACAGACTGTGACCTGTTCTTGGTGGGTGCAGTCTGTGTAGAGTGCACATCTGATTATTGGTGGGTCCCGTGCCTGTGCTTAAGCAAGTCCTGTAGAGAAGTCATCGTGGAGAATTAGTGGTGGCCCTAGCTTGCCACAAAACCTGGTCTCATGAGCATCTGCAACATCCTTTTTACATCCTTTATATCACCTTACCCCATAGTAGCCCCAAGCAAATGTGATCTGAGGTTTAGATCCTCAGTGAAAATTGTGGTTTCAAGTCTCTCATGGCTAGCCTCAAGGCAGTTCTAGATGTGGTCAGCAGTAATCACAAATTCTTGTTTTGTTTCCACACCCAGAAGGCAAGTTTTGTCAGAGCTGGGGAATAATTTCAGATATTTGACATATTGATTATAAAGGGCTTCTGAACGTCTGTGTTTACTGCCTTTGGAATACAAACAGGTGCAACTGAGGGACTAGCTGCACTACTGCCATTTGTCTGTCCAAGGCAAGAGTATCACCAAGGCCTTTGCTCCAGCCTTACTTGGCATCTTTGTGCAAGATAGAGCAAACAACAGTAATGGACACTTCTCATGCCTGGCCAAGGCTGTTGTACCTTGGCCAGGTACGACATGTTGTGTGTTGGTATCCACAAAATGATGGCAAAGATGAGAGGAACCTGAATTGCCAGAGCAATATGAAACCTGAGCCAAGAGGAGTACTCTGCAGTTCTTTGGCTTTCAGAGTGGCCACTTTCTCTAGAACCTGGAAGAAGAGTTTTATGTGCTAAGAACGATTGTGATCCTAGGTCTTCCTTGTAGGCATCTCTGTATTTAGGCCAGATCTGTCTCCTGGGAAGGGAAGGAGCCAATGTCAGCCTCCAGGTGATTTATTTAGTCTGACATTACAAAGAGACCAATAGACTGCCAATTCTACCACATTCCCCTGGGGGGTACTTGACTATGTAGTCTTCTCTATGCTTCTAGTCAACTCTGACACATCTTGGAATTCTTGTAAGAAAAGAAATTTTTATACTTTTTTCTCCTTCCCTGAGTCCTGTGGACCAACCCTGAAATACCAAAAACAAGGGCAATAATTAAAGAAGTATAGACTCTTTAGTAGGCCACAGGCAGAGCAGACCCCCACCTTCTCACAGCACATACAACCTCTCTACTGGTGTAGCCCCAAGTCTGAGACGGAAAGTGGGAAGTCGGGTGCTGCAGACTGTTTGAAAGCAGGAGGAATGGGAATCTGGTAGAAGCATAGGTCAACAGTTCTTGTTTTTTTGGAGATGGAATCTCACTCTGTCACCCAGGCTGGAGTGCCACAGCATGACCTCGGCTCACTACGACCTCCACCTCCCAGGTTCAAGCAATTCTCCTGCTTCAGCCACCTGAGTAGCTAGGACTACAGGTGCATGCCACCAAGCCTGGCTAATTTTTGTATTTTTAGTAGAGATGGGGTTTCATCATGTTGGCCAGGCTGGTCTCGAACTCCTGACCTCAAGTGATCCACCCACTTTGGCCTCCCAAAGTGCTAGGATTACAGGCATGAGCCACCGTGGCCAGCCAACAGTTCATAATCAGGGGTCTTGGACCTCTAAGAATTCACTGGATGGGTTTCATGGAGTCTATGAAATATATATGTATCGGGGGAAATTCACCTCCGATATTCAACATGGGTTCTTTTCTATTTCCCTAAGTGTCAGCTGGTCTGAGAAATAAAGGGAAAGAGTACAAAAGAGAGAAATTTTAAACCTGGGTGTCCAGGGGAGACATCACATGTTGGCAGGTTTTGTGATGCCCCCTGAGCCATAAAACCAGCAAGTTTTTATTAGTGATTTTCAAAAGGGGGGGGTGTGGGTCACAGAGTTCACATGCTTCAAAAGGTAATAAAATATCACAAAGCAAATGGAGGCAGGGCGAAATCACGACCACAGGATGGGGCGAAATTAAAATTACTAATGAAGTTTCAGGCACGCATTGTCATTGATAACATCTTATCTCCTGACAGGGATTGAGAGCAGACAACCTGTCTGACCAAAATTTATTAGGCGGGAATTTCCTCGTCCTAATAAGCCTGAGAGCGATATGGGAGACTGGGGCTTATTTCATCCCTTTGTCTACAACCATAAAAGACAGCCGTCCCCAAAGCGGCCATTTTAGAGGCCTCCCCTCAGGGACACATTCTCTTTCTCAGGGATGTTCCTTGCTGAGAAAAAGAATTCAGCAATATTTCTCCTATTTGCTTTTGAAAGAAGAGAAATAGGCCGGGCGCGGTGGCTCAAGCCTGTAATCCTAGCACTTTGGGAGGCCGAGGTGGGCGGATCATGAGGTCAGGACATTGAGACCATCCTGGCTAACACGGTGAAACCCCGTCTCTACTAAAAAATACAAAAAAAAAAAACCTAGCTGGGTGAGGTGGCAGGCGCCTGTAGTCCCAGCTGCTCAGGAGGCTGAGGCAGGAGAATGGCGTGAACCTGGGAGGTGGAGCTTGCAGTGAGCTGAGATCCGGCCACTGCACTCCAGCCTGGGTGACAGAGCGAGACTCCATCTCAAAAAAAAAAAAAAAAAAAAAGAAAGAAAGAAGAGAAATTTGGCTCTGTTCTGCCCGGCTCACAGCAAGTCAGAATTTAAAGTTATTGCCCTTGTTCCCTGAACATTGCTGTCATCCTCTTCTTTTTTCAAGGTGCCCAGATTTCATATCGTTCAAACACACATGCTTTACAAACAATTTGTGCAGTTAATGCAATCATCACAGGGTCCTGAGGCAACATACATCCTCCTCAGCTTACGAAGATGATGGGATTAAGAGATTAAAGACAGGCATAGGAAATAACAAGGGTATTGATTGGGGAAGTGATTAAGTGTCTATGAAATCTTCACAATTTATGTTCAGAGACTACAGTAAAGATAGGCATAAGAAATTATAAAAGTACTAATTTGGGGAACTAACAAATGTCCATGAAATTTTCACAATTTATGTTCTGCCATGGCTTCAGCCGGACCCTCCGTTCGGGGTCCCTGACTTCCTGCAACATATATGCAGTAGTTTGAGTTTAAATGTATTTTCCTGGCTGGGCACAGTGGCTCACGCCTGTAATCCCAGCACTTTGGGATGCCAAGGTGGGCGGATCACCTGAGGTCGGAAGTTTGAGACCAGCCTGACCCACATGGCGAAACCCCATCTCTACTAAAAATACAAACTTAGCCAGCCTTTGTGGCACATACCTATAATCCAAGCTACTTGGTAAGGCTGAGGCAGGAGAATCGCTTGAACCTAGGAGGCAGAGGTTGCAATGAGCTGAGATCGCGCCATTGCACTCCAGCCTGGGAAACAAAAGCAAAACTCCATCTCAAAAACAAAAACAACAACAACAAAAATAATAAATGTATTTTCCTGGGGAGACTCCCAAAATAGTACATGTCTTTTAAAAAGGTAAGTCCCACTGTTGCGGATGGTTCTGGCATGTCACCCCAGCATTACTACAGGTCATATTTCTTCCTTATTCCTTCCATATTCATTCCTGACAGTGCCTAGCTCCCAGGGCCATAGCTGCCTCTGTGACCTTGTGTAGCCTAGAGCCAACAGTGATGTAAATCTGCATTGAGCTTGGTGAGCTTTGGTCCCCAGGGATTCTTTTACTGATTTTAGTAAGTACCTATATATGAAATGATAGCTGGGTGGGTTGACTCATGCCTGTAATCCCAGCACTTTGGGAGGCTGAGGCAGGAGTACTGCTTGAGCCCTAGAGTTCAATACCAGCCTAGGTAACAAAGTGAGACCCTGTCTCCACAAAATACTTTTAAAAATTAGCCAGACATGGTAGTTCATGCCTGGAGTCCCAGCTACTGGGGAGGCTGAGGCAGGCAGATTGCCTGAGCCCAGGAATTCAAAGCTTGAGTAAGTTATGATTGTGCTGTTGCACTCCAGCCTGGATGGCAGAACAAGACTCTGACTCAAAACAAGAGAAAAAAATACCAGGAGCAGTGGCTCATGCCTGTAATCCCAGCACTTTGGGATGCCAAGGCGGGCAAATCACCTGAGGTCAGGAGTTTGAGACCAGCCTGGCCAACATGGTGAAACTCCACCTCTACTAAAAATACAAAAATTAGCTGGGTGTGGTAGTACATGCCTGTAATACCCACCTACTTGGGAGGCTGAAGCAGGAGAATCACAGGAACCCGGAGGCGCAGGTTGCAGTGAGCCGAGATCTCACCACTGTACTCCAGCCTGGGCAACAGAGTGAGACTCTGTCTCAAAAAAAAAAAAAAAAAAAAGAAAAGAAAAAAGAAATGATAAACTGTTCTAGAACAGAGAAACCTGGGAAAAGGAATTTTTGGCCCAATGGAAAATTCTGGATATATTCATTATCTATAAATAATGCATGTTATTATTTTTCTTGAGTGTCATTCATTGGCTATATGCCTAAGAACTAATTGTTGATGTATTCTTGTTAATTGATGATTAACCTGAATTGAGGATTAACATGAAGATTAATAATAATTCATGTTAATTAAACTTAATTATGAAGTTTTCATATTACCAAGAAATCATTAATGAGTATGAGAAGGAAACAGCCGGGTGCAGAGTGTCACACCTATAATCCCAGCTACTTGGGAGGCTGAGGCAGGAGGATCACTGGAACCCAGGAGTTTGAGACCATTCTGGGCAAAGAGCAAGATCTTGTTTCTTAAAAAGTTTAAAAAAGAAAATTAAGCCAGGCACAGTGGCTCACTCCTGTAATCCCAGCACTCTGA